GAGACCTGTGAAAGTTTTAAAAGGATGATAGTGTAAGCAGAGACATCAGTTATTTAAATAAAACAAACATTAACCTTATACTTTGATGTGTTTAGTTTAATCGGAGAGTTTTCAGTGGAGGTAAACACACGGAGGCTGTCGGAGACTCAGGAGGTCACACAGACTCACAGATGATGATGTGGGTTTGATCTCCAGGTCAGACCAAAATATCGATTTTATAAGAAGGGGATAAAGTTTAAAATTAGTACGATTTAACAATCTAACAACAGAGTTAACTGAATAAATCACATTCAGTTTCAGTTTGTGTGGTTACTGTCTCTGAAATAGCCTTCTATAGTCTTACCACAAATCACTGTACTGACTAATAACTTTAAATTAATTAAATTAATCTCATTCTCCTCAGCTGAGCTCAGATCTTTGAGCATGGTTATTAAATATATTACAGAGGAGAGTTATTTTCCCTCTCCCCTGTAATATATTTAATACGGATTCTAGACTATGGCTTATGATTGTCTTGTTCATGTGAAATATAAAATACAACAGACTTCAAGTTTTTTGTAGCCTATTCATTTTGAGGAGGTTTTCTAAAGTTTTGAAAATCTGTCTTTGCTGCTCTGAAAGTCAGTAAAACCTTTTTGAGAACAAATCAAATCAACAAACAACATCCTTAACGTAAGTTGTTGATTTATTGTTTTTATATTTAGTATTTCAAAGTGTAGAAAATATGTGTATTATACATTCTTAAACAGTGTTTCTCAACTGGTAGGTCGGGACCCAAAGTGGGTCGCAGAGTGCCTGAAAAAAAAAGTGTCTGTGAAGTGAAGTGCTTTTTAAAAAATCTTTATTGTTCTGTGTCTTTTTTCTGTCACGTTTCTGTGTACCGTCTGAGGTCCAAACAGCAGAACTTTTCATGTAATTTTTCTGATTTGATTAAAAAATATCAGAAACAAAGGTTGTGATTTTTCATGAAGAAAGTAATGGAGGGGTCTTGAGGCTTAGGCAACAACCACTGTACACAAATATTAGAGCTACATTGAATATCTGATTTGAATGAAAAACATTCTCATGCTCAGGGAGTGGTCACATTTATTCCATCACTTTTAAAAAAAAAATATCTCTATTAATTTGACCGGTATCATGATACAATAATCATTAAGGACATTTTTTTTTGGTAACATGACACATACCTCCCCTGCCCACCCATACATATACACACACAGACACATCAATTACAATAAAATACCATACCAGGGGGTAAAAAGAAGAGACAAGCACAAAACACAAAAACAAAAAATAACAGAAAAATAATATAAAAAATATAATAGTAAAATAAAAAACAATATAACAGTGATATGTATCTATTCCTTCCTTCTTACATTGTTATACAGAGCATAGAGAATCAACTGTCCTGTTGTGTCTTTAATTCGGTTATATAATTGAGCACAAGGCCCCAGAGAGATACACATTTTCCACATATTCCAGAACTTCTACCTGGGAACAGTTGATTTAATTGCAGTAGAGATGGTTTGGATCATAGCGGGCTGTGAGTAAATCAGCTGACTATAGTATCATATTAACAGTATGTGAATACATAGAAGCCTTGTGTTTAAGGCTTCTCTTTGACCTTCTATAACCATTGCACACAGGAAAGATGAAAACAGATCTGAAGTTGTGTTGACTTGGTTTCATGAAGGGAGAAATCTTTACAGAGAAATCACATTGATGACATAACTGCTTCAAGTTTCAACATCTCAGACAAATTCCTTTTATTGCATTATGAACTAAAATCAAGCTCTAGGCCTAACAAGTTAAAGCCCTGTAGTTATTGTAACACATGTAAGCATTCACATTTAGACTATAATGGAAAAAATAATAAATGTTAATATAGTTTCAGGCTGTGTGCTGACTATATCATGCATGTAGTGAGTTAATCTGTGAAAATGATTATCAGACCAAATATTGTTAATCTCAGCATTTAAATTAACAATGCAGCTGATATTAAAATGACTTTAAATTCTGATGAAAGTGAACTGTGACAGATACAATACAAGAGTTCACATTATAGTTAATATAAACATCATTTCTTTAGATATTACTTTCATGTTAGGATCAAGGTGAGCAGTGGAAATTAAATTTAGATTCTTTAATTAAGAACAGGCAGAAGGAAGGACTCTTACAATCAAAGTTAAACTGCTGCTGCATTTAGGTGAACACAGCATGTTTTTAACATTCCACTTCCTGCCCTGAATGTTCTACTAAACTTTTTTTTTTACTATTGTTGTTTTCATTGTACTTCCTTAGTGATTGTTTAGCACCAAAGTCTATGTGCAAGTATACTTGGCAATAAACCCAGATTCTGATGCACAGTGATGCAAGATTAAATTACTGTTTCACTTCAGATCTCTTACCCAGAATAAATAATCTAGTTTAAGTGAATGACCTCTTTCTACTGCAATATAAATCATAGCTGTGTACAGCAATCAGGATTTCAGCTCTCAGATGAAGTGTTGTGTGGTCCTTAAAAGGACCGTTGTGTTGCTGGTGATCAGCGGGTTTACTTGGAGCTGGTGTACTTGGTCACAGCCTTGGTGCCCTCAGACACGGCGTGTTTAGCCAGCTCACCGGGCAGCAGCAGGCGGACAGCGGTCTGGATCTCCCTGGAGGTGATGGTGGAGCGCTTGTTGTATTGAGCCAGACGGGAGGACTCCCCGGCGATGCGCTCAAAGATGTCGCTCACGAACGAGTTCATGATGCCCATAGCCTTGGAGGAGATACCGGTGTCGGGGTGGACCTGCTTCAGGACTTTGTAGACGTAGATGGCGTAGCTCTCCTTCCTGGACTTTCTCCTCTTCTTTCCGGTCTTGGTGGCTTTAGAGACGGCTTTCTTGAGCCCTTCTTGGGCGCTTTCACGGTTTCAGGCATGTTTGTTGAATGGGGGTCTCAGAAACTGATATTGAACTGAGTGTCAGAAAGCTGCTTATATTTGGCGTTGAAGCAAACAGCATGTGCTGTTGCTCTCACAGGATTGGCTGAGATTTGCGCGCTCAGGGCCGTGCGTCATGTGGAGTGAGCATGCATTGTCCGAATTCATTCACCGTTAACTTCATCAGTAGTTATTCTGGAGTTTGATTTAAATGCTAATGAGTAGGCAGGAATTACTCTCAAATTAAGACAAATGAAACCTCCAGTTACTTGACCTCATCAAGACATTTCAGCATGTGAGGTGCTGGAAGAAGCCTGGAGAGTATCTGGAGAGTTTAAGGCAAATTTCAACCTCTGGTGGACATTAAAGATTTGTTCTATTGTTTTCTATTCTATTCTAACTTTTCTCCCAACAACTGTCGAGGCAACACTTTTCTTTAAATGGCTCAAGTGTTATTAATCCTTCAGTGTTTGACATGTTGCCTATACCTCATCAATATATAATTATAGCCTACTTATTAATATGCTGTTGTGAATAGTCTAATTATGTCATATATTTTTGTAAAATATAGGATTGAAGAATGTTACATTGGTAAAGCTAATCGTTTTGGGGGTTATATAAATGTTCAAGGACCCATATTGAGGTTAACTAGGACTTTTCTGCATGTTCAGATAGATACTTTTTGATCTCGAGGGAAATTCAAAGCATCCAGTAGCAGGTTACAAAGACATGACATGAAACATTTGTTACAAATTAACCACAAAAACGACCTCCCCCCCCCCTCCCATACATATATGTTAACCTGAAAAAAAGATTTAAAGAATACCTCTAGATGAATCAGATGTTCAGTTCAGTTTATTGCCATTTGGAGCATAAAAACCACATTGGAATAAAGACACAGGACAGGAAGAGCTTAAACAGGCTCTTGCGACGGCGCCATCTTGTTGTTGATGAGGATATTAATCTCATTTATGAATAATAAATTCCCTCCATGTGATGAACGTCGCTTTATAGATTAGTATGAAGCAGTTCAGAATCAGAATCTGGGTTTATTGCCCAGTACATTCACACATAAAGGAATCTGACTGTGTATTGGTGCTAAAACAATTAACAAGGAAATAAAGCAGAACTAGAAACAACTTAAATAATACAGTAGAAGAAGCTATTACAATATATAAAATAGAATTGTAGCACACAGTGATTACATTTCTCTGGTTTCATTTCCACATTTCAAACGTTAACAGAAATATAAATGTGCAATAGTCAGAATTAGTGATGTGTCGGTCATGAACGATTCATTCAAATTGAGGAAGTAGAAAATATATTATTTAACATTTAGGTGTCGCGAAAATGTTGAAAATGCTTTTTATATCTGCTGTCAGTTTACAAACGGCTTTTATATCCAACTTAATTTAACATCTACTAACCATCGTGTTTCAGTCAGTACAGTGTGTGTGTGTGTGTGTGTGTGTGTGTGTGTGTGTGTGTGTGTGTGTGTGTGTGTGTGTGTGTGTGTGTGTGTGTGTGTGTGTGTGTGTGTGTGTGTGTGTGGCTGGTGACTCACAGTCTCGCTCGTTCAGTACGTTCACTGAACGAGAGCTCCTCTTCTCTCTTCCTCTCAGTCAGTCAGTCAGTGATTTGTGTACTGAACTTACTGAACCAAACCGTCGGGGAAAATAAATGTGATTGTTTTAGCAGTTTTCAGTTTGCACTCTGTAGCTTTATGCAGCTAAATTCTCAGCTCATTGGTTTATTATTCACTACCGGCTGTTCTCAGTACGATCACGAGCAGAACTGAACATTCAGCTTATTAAACTCTGATTCACAGACAGAGCTGCAGGGAAGTACTGAACTGATTCAGTACACTTGGAAGAACTGCTTTTCACATCACTAGTCAGAATTCAAGTGATGAACAGGACTTCATATTCCATGTAGGACTCCTCAAGAGTGATGTGATTGTCGCCCCGTCCTGATGTTTCTGAACAGGAGTGTTGTTACGGTTACAACGCAGCAATTTATTAAACTAATGCAACAACTCCAATTCTTAACACAAACATATTCACATTTGAGAGTTAGAAATGACTCTTCAGATCAATTGTGTGGCTCTTAAAAGAGCCTTTGGGTTTCAGTGTGAGTGGGTCAGGATCAGGTTTAACCTCCGAAGCCGTACAGAGTGCGTCCCTGTCTCTTCAGGGCGTAAACCACATCCATGGCGGTGACGGTCTTCCTCTTGGCATGCTCGGTGTAGGTGACAGCATCACGGATGACGTTCTCCAGGAAGACCTTCAACACACCACGGGTCTCCTCGTAGATCAGACCAGAGATACGTTTGACTCCACCACGACGAGCCAGACGGCGGATAGCGGGCTTGGTGATTCCCTGGATGTTATCACGGAGAACTTTACGGTGACGCTTAGCGCCTCCTTTACCGAGTCCTTTACCTCCCTTTCCTCTTCCAGACATGTTAGCAGATCAGTTGTTGAAAGCTGAATGATACTGAGTCAGAATTCACGGTTAATTATATCTAGTCTCTGAGAACCTTATAGAAGACTAAGTCTACTCTTCTTCTTCGCTCATGTTTTTCAAAAGCAAAATCTCATGAATCATTAGCGCCCCCTCTGATCAGCAGCAGGAATCAGGGACAGCGTGACTCCTGTTAGACTGACTGAGCTCCACATTGAGCAGGAGGTGAAGAAAACATTCAACATCTTGGATTGGAATCATTCACACCGAGATGAAAGAAGATTATTTTTATTCTGTTTCTAAACAAATGACACAACATGCTGCAGCAGGGATCATTTCAGCACCTCGGACAGCGAAGGTCATCAAAAACATCCAGGAGAGGAGGACAGGAAGCTCCATCAGCACACCTTTAAGAAATGATGACTTAATGTTGAAACAAAAAGAAAGTCTATAACAACCCAACACAAAAAATATAATATATTTAAATAACACAAAGTCAATAAATATATTGAACATACTCATCGGCAACTGTCTGTGTTTCTGTAAGATCTTACACACTTTCAATATTGTACTGTTTCCTCTCTCTTTGTTTCTGTTTATAAATTCCATTCACCTGCACATTACCTGGCTCTCTTCCTGTCTTTAGTTCTACTGTTTATAAGGAAGCTCCTTACTTCACACCCTGTATCTTCTCTATCTTCTTTAAACTGAGTCTTTTATAATATTTAATAAATTCTTCATCTACATTGTCTGTTTCTGTCACAAGTTGAGCTCACTGCTTGTTTTTAATTCAGTAATATATTCTGTCCTGCTCTGCTTCTTTAGTCTTTATGCTAGAAGTTTTAAAGAATTCCGCCTCCCATCATAATTTATTTAGAATCATCATTTATTTTTTTAATTTCATTTTGAATTCAAATTGTATTTTGTACAGTTTTATTCCAGACATTGTTGCTCTAATGTCTTCTGTTTGATTGTTTTGATATACATATTTTTTTTAAATGTTGTGCTGTAATTTGAATAACACTGCTTTAGCTCCTTCCCATTAAATCACTGAATTAATATCCCCAGTAACATTTATCTCTGATATTCTTTAATTACATTATTTATTTTCACTAAAAATATTTATCAAAAAGTAGTATTTAACCTCCAGATTTTATGTGAAGATTTGTAGATATGTATTTGAAGATATGTATAAATGTGACACGAACACAACAAGGGAGGAAAGTTGAAAACATGCAACATAAAAACCTTCAATAAGGCAGTGATTGAACCTCCTGAGTTCATAGTGTGTGCTGGTGATTTACTGAAGTTATTTTAGCTGAACGATGATTTTAGAAAAATACAAACTACTCTATTCTACGATTTTGATTGAAAACTATGAAGGGGAAAAAAATATCAGGCCATATCAGAAAACAGTAGACAAATACCTCAGGCGATCTCTAAGAGGATACCTGTGTAAGATTTAAAAGTGAAGTAAATTCAATATATTTGAGTTAATTCATGTATTTAAGTTTAAGTTAAAATGTATACAGTGAACTATTTACATATTTGAGTTTACGAAGTTAATATTGATATATTTAAATGTGTTAATGTTTGCAGTAGCACCTAGTAACTGTGACCAAATTATATTGAATCCATCAAATCTGTGTTTGTCATAATGTTTGCTTTGAGTTTAATCATCCTAACCTCTGATTGGCTAACGACGGGGACATGTGATGAGTATCAAGAAAGTGTTTGTGGTGGTTGTTGTTGTTGTTGTTGTTGTTGTTGTGTAGCAGAACAATGTGGATGACAGTAAAAGTGCTGCTGAGAAAGTTATCCGTCTCCATCCTTCTGTTTCTCTTAACTAGAGTGATCCATCCACCACACATCGGACCCTCACGTTACACCTGTATTCTTCATGACTCACTGACATACATGATCACAGAAGATCATATAGAGCTATGGTGTTTATCGATGATAATGACGTCATATTGAGTTTACGCTTCATTCACTTTACATTGTAATGTGTGTATGGTTGCAGCACTGTGTGTCCATCACAACATGTGTCTTTTATACTGTAACAAACTCATCATCACTATAAATTAGAGACAGTACAGGAACACCTCTTGAGTAGAATGTGGTGGCTCTTAAAAGAGCCGTTGTGGTTGTTTTAGAGAGTAACAGATTAAGCTCTCTCTCCGCGGATCCTTCTGATCAGCTGGATGTCTTTGGGCATGATGGTGACCCTCTTGGCGTTCCTCCCGTGCTGGACTCCAGTTCCCAGTCGGTCGTGTCCACAGGCTGCTGCGTAAAGGAAACTATGCTCAGCGTGTTGGTGCCGGAGCCCCCGTCTACCTGGCGGCTGTGCTCGAGTACCTGACCGCTGAGATCCTGGAGTTGGCCGGTAACGCTGCCCGTGACAACAAGAAGACCCGTATCATCCCCCGTCACCTGCAGCTGGCTGTCCGCAACGACGAGGAGCTCAACAAGCTGCTCGGAGGAGTCACCATCGCTCAGGGAGGAGTGCTGCCCAACATCCAGGCTGTTCTCCTGCCCAAGAAGACCGAGAAGGCCACAAGAAGTAGAGACTAATCCTGACTTCAACAAACACAAAGGCTCTTTTAAGAGCCACCACATCACAACTAAAGAGAAAATCCCTCTGATACAGGCACCTACAGATGATTGAAAGGCTAAATTAAATAACATCTAAACGGTTATTAATTATTACTTATTCTGCATGAGTGGTTGCGGGTTCAAGTCATTAAACTGATGCAGGACTCTTTAAAAGGAAACCAATGCAATTCCTATTTATTCCACATGGAGGAGCCAGTGCTCCAATTGTGGCCAGATTTACTCTCCAAAGCCATAACTTGTTTATTTAGTTTAATGTATCAGGTTTGTGTAATGCTTTATGAGGTAGAGACAGGACGGACCCTGAAAGCCAGACTCAAGCAGCACCTTTACAATATTAGGAAAAGCAGGCTGACGCAATTTCATTTTTTCTACTCTCACATATTCCTCTTTTACAAATACAGGAAGAGGCGAAAATATCTAAATCTATTGCAATTTTATGATAATGCTCCCATACATTAGTCACGGTATGGAAGTGTGGGGGAGCACATACAAAACAAACACAGAGCCAATCTTCATTATTCAGTAAAGAGCCATAAGAATTTTAATTAAATCCACCTACAGAGGACCAACAGACCCACTCTTCATCACACTGAGTACTCTGAAATTCAAGGACCTGGTCGACTCTAAAATCATCCAGATCATGTACAGAGTTGAGAATGATCAGTTCCCGAACAGTATCCAAAGGTTTCTTTTAAGCAGAGAGAAGGATACAAAATCTCAGAGCAATATTTATGTCAAAAAAAACAAGCAGTAAGGACCAATGTGAAGCTACACTGTATTAACATCTGCAGTGAAGAAATGAAGACAGGAAAGTTCAAACACATTTTCAAGAACAACATATTTAACAGATGTATAATTAAAGAGTCAAAATGTAATCAGTGTCATTTGTGAGGTCTGTACCGTCTACCAATAAATGTCTGTAATATATTAAATCTGTTGCTTTTCTTACTAGAGTACAGATAACTATCTAGCCCTTGTTGGACCTTGGATACAGGTAGGACTGGATGTGTTTTTTCACATCATCTTACACCCTTTTTTGAACATGGACTAGTTAAGCCATGCGATTTTGATATAAGCAGAATGTGGTCATCAGAGTAGACTGAAGCCTTATCAAGGGCTCATCTGTCTGCACACAATCATTAACAGCCCCCCCCCCCCCCCCCTTACTGTCAGTGTAACTCTGCTGAACTGAGCATGTAAAATCACATTATGCAATCATAGGAGTGTTTCACTGGTTTCTTAGGTCTTACCTTAGGTCATCCTTCTGTCTGCTTATTGTAGCCCCCCCCCAACGACAACGACCTTCGTATTTGACTCTAAATGGGACCGTGAATAACAAAGTGAACATCATGTTGTATTGAAGAAGACTCGATCTATAGATTGAGACCATAAACTCAGGAAAATGTTTCCTGATGGAGTAAATCAATCAGCTGGGAATTCAGAGCATTTTATCCTCCTACTTTTTATTAAAAACCAGTGGGATCGCCCCCCTGCTGGACATGAGAAAGAATGCAGGTTTAAAGCACTTGTCAGACTTCTTGTTCAGATGTTAAGTCTGTTGTTGTTGTTTTTTTGTTTATCAGTGAGCTGTTTATTGACTGACCAGAAAAATCGAAGTGTTTACGCTGCAAGGTAATCCAACAAACCGCTGAAACAAAAACTGCTTTCATCAGGTCAGGAATTCAAAGAGGATTGCTGTGAGGACCGTGTTTGCTTGTGACAGGAGTACGATTTGTAGTAAAATAGCTCAAGACAAACACCTGAATAAACAGACAGAATACAACTTAGTGACTCCGTCCAACAGATGTGTTGACCCCTTTGTGCGATTCAGAGTCAATAAAAACTGAAGTCTGAGATGCTCAAAGGTGGAATTTATGACAGTAATGTGAGACACAAACTGCAGAGTCACACATGTGTAACAAGCGGAGAACTTAAAAGTGAAATTTCACCGTCTGTACACATGCAGCAGGTTATAAACAGCTGCAGGAAGATTCCTCTGAGCAAGAATCTGAGCCTGTTAAGTAATGTGTTATTTCTTACATTTTCTCCTCATGCTCTCACCTCCAGCTCCCTGAAACAGTGAGCTGTGTTTACTCATTTTTAGGCCGTGTTGTGTTAACACCTGGTTTTTTTTTTTATCAGATTAGATAGAGAGTAATGACAGCAGTACTTTGAACAGCCTTGGTCTGACTGGATACACTGCACTGAAGTGTTTCCACTGTTTATTATTTTATTGACTGTTTTATCTCCTTTGAGCCTTGTTTTTATCTGGATTCAGTTCATTGATGTTTTATGAGGGTCATAAAATTTTAATTTGTGGATCATTAAAACAGTGCAGGAAACAACGTCTACATTTAGGTTTTTTTTTTTTTTTTAAATCAAGCTGATGTGTGAGGATTTGTTAAGACACTGTCAAGAACACCTGTTACACAGAATAAGGTTAATAGATTAGGCTTTGGAAAGGTGATTTATCATCGACTTTTAGGAGGAAGGCAAGATCCTGGGTTTGGTTGCAACCACATGTGTTGTAGTTTGGGGGGGGGGGCATCGACAATGCTTCGGCTCTGTAATGTTTCCACAATTAGAAAACCCCTGCCCTATTGCATACCACAGACAAACTCTTTCACAATTAGAACTTGAATTTATGCAGTGTTTTTTGTCAGTGATACTCTTAATACTCTTACGCAATACACTTCTAAGAACCTTTAAATGCATGTTAGTGTAGTTTGGTCTCACTCTTTCTACCTGGATGTTTTTTCCTGTGTGTTTACTGTGACGGGGATCAGGAGATGAGGAAACAACCAGATTAAGATGCCGGTTCAGATTAGCCTCAGCGAGCAGGAGGAGGGAGGCCAGGGTGGCCGGGTCGATGTGACAAAAACGAACCCAAAACTTGCCGAATAGCGTCTAAAGCTAGCCCAAAAACCAGCCCAATGCCAGAATTCAGAATAAGGCCGTAAAATCTCTGCCACACCATATTTCTCTACACAGTTGTTAAATAGCTCTGTGAATGTGTAGAACGATTCACTAAAGCAAAACTAACCTGTAGCTCTCTCCCTCAAATTCTGTCTTTTTTTTCCTTTTCCTCCCCCGATGGTCAACTCAGAAAGTTGCTTCACTGTATTTTAAACTTACACTCAAATCAATACAGGTGTTAAAAGGTTGTTCTTCTTGTTTGTGTATTTTGGCATATTATAATCCCAATTTAAAGGTGAATACACCAACTAACAGCAGGTTGTTGTTTACAGAGGTTTTGATGGGAGTCAGAGGCAGGGTGGGCGGCACTAACGTCAATGACTGTGTACGTGCAGACGGGGCTGGAAGAGAAATCGGGCACGCTGGAAAGGGGCCACAGGTCAGATTTGAACTTCTGGTCTGGGGCCCCAAGCAGTTCCCTGCCTTGCCTGTTGACAAGCAGCGCCTCTGCTAGAATAGATTGAGAGTTGGATGAATCCCATCAAGTTCAAAGAGCATGTACAGTACCTGCTGACTTCTGCGTCGAACGTGCCAAGGTTTGAACCCTGATCAAGCATGAAAAGCATGCGCTCTGCCACTGAGCTACATCCGCTGTGCATGCGAGGAAAACACAGGACAGTTCAGCCACCAGAAGTGTAATAAGTAGCATTTTCGCTGACGTTACGATATTTTGAACGGCAAAGCTTAAACAACAACACATTCCACATTCAGACCTCAAACCTTGTTCGCAAACTCACTCTGGTCCGAGGGATTTCTAGAGTGTCGTCTACTCAGTGATAAAAATCATATAAACCAGTCAGAGAATCAAACATGAAATAATGTTTCCAATAACTTCAGCACACTTAAAAATCACACAGACCAAATGTCTTCAATGTACAGCAACTTTTGTTAAAAAAAAAAAAAAGGATCACTGTTGGTTATTTACAGGAAGTTAAAAAGCTGAAAACAAATAGTTAGATTTCTACTCAGGACGCTACATGTCAACAACATTTGATTTGTGTTTCAATAACATTAAACAGTTTTTTAAGGCAGTTATTAGTTTAACCGTTACCGTTCCAATCATCAGCTCTGTAAAAGAAACAAATATCTACAGTATTTACACGTTTTACACATCTTAAGGTTGTACAAAGGCAAAATGATCAAAATGCATATTTGGCACGGTAGATTTTACTGTATGTGCTTTCTGTTTAACATCCATCTCTTATAGTAAATGTATGACAGCAGATACCAGCCCCTTTAAAACAGATATAAAAGTCTTTATCAAAAAGCACTTCATATGTAATAAACATTTATCATTTGTACATTCTTCTCATAAAGAGCAAACATATAAACACACTTAAAGGTCACATATTCTCCTCCTCTTCAACCAGTTTAAATAAGTCTCATAGCTCCCCAAAACATGTGTGTGAAGTTTCTTGATCAAATACAGGATCAGAGTGGATTCAGAACATGTCTATAAACCCCTCTTTTTCAGCCCTGATTAGAACAGGCTGTTTCTGTGTCTGTACCTTTAAATGTAAATGAGCGGTGTTTGACCACGCCCCCTCTCTGGAAGGGCTTGGGTGGCTCGGGGCTTTCTCGCTCCATGTCCTATTGTTTACCGTGAGAAGGCAGACTCAGAGGGCAGAACAAACACCTAGCTGTGGGAGTGTCACCCACCTGGGGGAGGGGTTACTCCCCTTTGTGATGTCATGAAGGGAAAATCTCCAAACAGCCTGTTTGAGCACACATTTTCTGAAAAGTGGAGCAGGAAAAAGATGGAGAGGATGGACTTTTCTCATCGTTGGGGGGTTTGTAGACAGAATAGGGATACATATTAGTGTGAGAATCACAAGGTGAAGTGTATTTTGAATAATATGTGACCTTTAAAATATTTCTTTTACGAGTACTACATTAAAACATTTCCAACTTTGACTGTTTAAAAGCAAGTGTAAATACTGACACTTAGAAATAAAAGGTCAACTACAAGAAGAGGTTTTTTTCTGGTGGTTTTAGAGCTTTTCACTAATCCTTCTGCTGGACTTTAATCCCGTTGTTGGATTTTGTTTATCTACCAATAAACTAAATTTGAACCTGAATTAGTTCACTCCGTTTACAAGAGAACATTTTAAGGCTTAATAAGAACGACTTTGAGCGTTTTGTAAGTGTGTACAATATGACAACAATGACTGCACACTCTACATGTCATTACTCACTGAGTAAACTAATATCTACAAACTTTCATCATATGAACACTAAGATACAACAACAAATACTGTATTACAACCTTATTTGCTGTAAATGTTTGGTAATTCAATAAACTATATCAACACTATGTTTTAGAGTTAGAGGGAAATTCCAACATTAGTAAACCCGAGCTCTACTTTTTAAATCTTTTTTAGGGTTTAATTTACTCATATATTAACAAACAAGTTTTGCAAGTTCTCCAGTAGATTTCTCTTCGGCCTGCAGCAGTGAAACAGGTCACTGTGCTGCAACATAGTCACTAATTGATCAAAGTTTTTCCATTAAAGTTGTTGTTTTTGTCTCTGACAGGCTCAGATTCTTATTTTAAGTGTCAAACAACTTTACAGAAATTATCCCTACAGAGAGAGACCTTTTTCCAACAGAGTAAGAGGATTTTTTAAAACAAGAATCAGCTGTAACATCATTCTCTTCAAAGACACCAGACTCCAAATGATAAAAACAGTAATTTTACCACCTTGATCGGTTTGTTTGTGTTATTTGAGATTACACAAATACTCTGTCGAGCCAGATAAATAAATAAAAAACAATACTTTACTATTATTTTAATAATGGTAAAAACCATGTTCATCTTTACCAAATGTCTGTCTCTGTAGAGATCCCTTCTGTAATGTTTTCAGTGACAAAAACAAGACCTTTTAGTGGATGCGCTTTGATTTATCACAGATTATGTTGCAGCCATTGCAGCCTGTTTTACTGCTGCAGGCTGAAGAAATCTACTGGAGAAATTCCAAAACGTTTTGAACCATTTGGTGATTTACAAACCAAAACATGTAAGATAGGACCCCGAAATATTAAAAAGTACTAGAAAAGAGTGGAGAGTCTCTACTCCAAATGTGATGGCCTTTACCTATATCAGTGTCCAGAGTGTTCCTGGCTCAGAAGTCTAACTTTAACACTGAGGGAAAAGATATAGCTATAAGAATACATTCACTTTAAATACTCAGTTATTTTTTAAAAGAAGTATAAAACGTAAAGGACAAAATGACCATTCATTTCGTGTCCTCCATACGATCCATGATAAAAAATGTTGTGTTTCTGAGCTCAGTTGGAGGGGGAGGAGTCTATGAAGGCAGGTGATGTTCACAGGTGGCTCTGTGTCATTAAGGAGATACCGTGCTGATAGTACGCTGCCTCTTATGATGGCTCCCATTTCTCCTCTTCCTGCAGTACACATACAGAGCTGTGAGGGGAACACAGCATACCGATGACGCCAGCAGCAGTCCGATGAAGAGCTGACCAAACACTGGGTACTCCATCACCTCCGACTGACCCTGAGGAAACGACAGGCATGGTTACAGTCTAGCTGAAATAACAAATATAATAAATGTATATTTTTTAACCTTAAATTCACCAGCATTCTGTGCACCAGTATTTGAATATATTCTAAAAATTTGCAAAGAGCTCATGTGTACAGATGTGTACTGCTTTGTACAGCACAGTTTTTGCATTAAAGAGATGAAAATGCTTCATTAGGCATCCATGTGTTGAAAACTGAACATTGTTGTTAGGCTAAGCTATTAGCCCACCCCCGACTCCTGACAATAATGTACAAGTGAAGGTGAACTGTACACTTTACAGTCCAAATTTGGAGATATGAAAATGTAATCAGACTGTCAAATCTCAAAATGCATTAGAAGGTTTTAAAGAATCATACTTATATTATATATATAAAATTACTCAGATCAGCGCACTGTGATCATAACAACTGTCGGGGCCTTTGTGTTATGTAACATTAAGACTGACCTAATGCTCTTTGCACCATCTCTGCTCTTTGTATTCCTGTAAACTTATAAGTGAGCTTTCTGTTTAAGTGGTTGCCTGAAAACAACATTGTTATCTCACTTTCAGCTGGTTCACCTTTCCTACTGTTACTCTCATAATGTGTTTAGTTATTCAATGCAGGAATATTGGATAAGTTAAAGCTGCTTTTACTTTTGTCACTCATACTGAGATATTAATCTCCTCAACTAATTAATGAGGAGAGAGGGGGAATTAAAAAAAAAAAAGATCCATTTCACCAGTAGCCGGAAGCAGAGATCTCTGTAAAAAAAAAAACAGATCCTTAGGCTGTAACCTAACCTTGATATGGAAATGTTTGTTTGTTTTTTGGAGTTTCTAACCATTTTGTTTCGGATTGTCATTAAGATTTGGGATGGGTGGACATTGGATTTCATAAATAAGTCAGACAGTCGTCTGCATACAAGGAGAGCGAAAATGTGTGAAATCCTCCAGGCAAGCTTCAAAGAAGAGTGGTGGAAAGAGTTTTTCTGCTGTTTAATGATCTGCAAGTTAATGTCAGCTTTTTTTCCCCCCTGAAACAGCCTTTATTCAGGACAGGATATTGAAGGGGGAAAAGCTGCTCGATCTGTAAATCAGGCAGACCTTTATTCAGGCTGACAAAATCTCACCCCTTTCACAGATTTTCACCAGCCAAAAAGTATAAAATCTAAAACATCAATAATAAAAAAGTTAAATAAGCCACAGCTAACCTTGTCTTTGTTCCATGCTTGATAGGTGGGGGTTCCTCCCTGGATGTAGTTGATGATGTAGAAGATGAAGAGGGCGATGAGGAGGATAGGACTTACTCCGCCCCACATGATCTTCCAGAACCAGTTAGGACGATGACCCAGCATGTCCTCTATGTCCTTTTCAAACCTAAAATGAGTAGATGGTATATGTAAATCCAAATTGATTCAAAGTTACATCACTGAGGGCATTGCTGGTTCTTTATACTCCATGAACATGTGAATTTATTTGGTTGTGTTGTGGGCGTAATATAGAATGCATACAAACCTTCTAATTCCATAGATGTAACTGACGGTGATGACCTCAACAAGGACGATGAAGAGCAGAGAGAAAGTTGCTCCGTAGTCGTTGAACATGGTGAACCAGTAGTTTCCTGATGGTGTGGTGAAGCCGAAGCCGAGCAGCAGACAGAACAGACACACTAAACCTGCAAGTGAAACACACAACATACAGTCACAGACACTCGTTCATTATAATTAGATTATCATTTCATCAATCAAGCCATTTTTGTTAATTAAAAATAATAAATCACCCAGCATTGGGTTTCTAGGACTTCTCCAAGGTATTGATATTGGAGTCTAAAATTCTGGTATCGTGCCAACCTTAGGGGCTCAAATTTTGCATTTTTGTATGCTATGCAACAGCAATGACACATCATAGTGCTGGTAGTTACGGACTCGATGTTTTAACTTTTCTACAAAAATTTTGGCCATTGTTGTAGCAGCTCTCTGGTGTCTCCGATGTTTTCTTTTACTGTCTCATCACCATACCAGTCTATACTGTTCCAAGCTGTTCTATTCATGCTGCATTTTGCGGACGCATAATGTTAATTTCTGAGGACGTGCACAACTAATGATGCAAACCACCGCAGGTTACACAAGGCTGATGTCATGCAATGTTTTTATGATGATAACGATGGTTTTGTTTGATAAGAATGATGACGACATTAAAGAAGGTTTTGATGTTGATTAGAAATTTCCAGAACAGCTGTCCATGTTGTGCTTTGCCTCTGGTCACTCTCTGTCAGCACCTGTGTGTACGATCAGACTTAAGGATGTTTGTTTGCCCTTACTGATGTTGTTTCCTCTTTTCTAAATCATTTCTTGTGTTGTACTTACTCTCTGATGTACGTCGCTTTAGATAAAAGCGTCTGATAAATTAATTGAAGAATTGTAGTAAATCAAAAGAACACGCTGACCGACTGAAGTATGATGAACAAAAATATGTCACAACTTTGAAGTCAGATCTTACCATTGAACAACTCGTTGCTAATACGGGAGAAGACCTTGAAGTCTCGTAGCGGGGTGATGATGGCGGTGACGTTACCCAACATGCTGCCCATGCCCAGCAGCAGGAGCATTGAGAAGTAGAGCACGGACCACAGCTGAGGCAGAGGCATGTTTTTAATGGCCTCACTGTAAACTATGAAGGCCAGACCGGTCCCCTCTACCGCCTGAAACATGAGAAAGAGAAACGCAAACTCTTAAGGACTGGCACAGAAATTGAGGGCCTGATTCACCAAATGAGCATATTTCTTGGCGATCGACCCCTATACATCTCTGTGTCACTATATCATTGTGATATGTACTATTCTAATGTATTTATTTAATGTTTCATCATTATTTTAGTAATGGTAATTTTGATTTGTTCAGCACTGTTAAGATGTAGTAATGAGGCACTGACCGTGTCCAGCTCCTTGTTCAGGTCACAGGGGACATCTGGGAGACCGAGTTCAGCAAACTGCTGCGGGTACGTCGAGTTCAGCCTCTCGAGCCACTCGAAGATGTTTTCCATGTTGATGGAGTCCTCTGACAGGCTGAAGGTGTTCAGCAGCAGAACACGAGTGCTGACAAGGAACAAACAGGACTGTTAAATTAACAGTAAAAATGTATCTTCACCAAGAATATTATGAGCTTTTAGAGTCCTCCAGTGCATCCCAAGTGAGTCATATTTCAACACTGTATTCTGTTAAATATGTTTGTATATCAGCCATGTCTTAAAAAGTGTACCGGTAAATAATAAGCCAAATAAAAAGCCTAACATTCACCCTCACATTAGGTGACACACACATGATCTGGATTACGGAGGCATTTTGTAATTTCTTTATAGGTCATATATTATACAAAATATTCACCAAGTGTTTCTGACACTAATATGTGTCTCTAGTCCGTCTATAAACCCCCCCAATGATGAGAAAAGTCCATCCTCTCCGTCTTTAGCCTGCTCCACTTTTCAGAAAATGTGGTTTTACCTTCATGACATCACAAAGGGCAGTAGTTCTCCCCCAGGTGGGTGACACTCCCACATCTAGGTGTTTGTTCTGCCCTCTGAGTCTGCCTTTTCACCGTAAACAATAGGACATGGAGCGAGAATGCCAGATCCACACCTCCTTCCAGAGGGGCGTGGTCAGACACAGCTAATTTACATTTAAAGCTACAGACACAGAAACAGCCTGTTCTGAGCAGGGCTGAGATAGAGGGGTTTATAGGCATGATTAAATACAGGATCAGAGTGGATATATAACAAGAAACTTTACAGACATGTGGAGCTCTAAGACTTATTTAAACTGGTTGAAAAGGAGGATAATATGTGACCTTTTAACAGCCAAATTAATCACTCATCAAGAATCTCTTTTGTTATGTAAAAAAGAAAGCTTTGAGTTCCACACTAGTCTTTACTTTTCAAAAATGTACTCAAACCATTTTAAGTTTCGATAAGGCAACAACATCACAATAGCCCCAGCGAAGAAAATAGCTCAAAACAATATGTAAAATGGCAGCAGACCTTTGGAAACTACAAAGAATCTTAGGCTAAGAAGGTCTTGGCTAAACAGGACCTTAAAGGAAACAAGCAACCTGACCAAAACAAACAGCTCAACAGATTATTAATTTGAGCAAAAAAGATGACTGAAAACTAACTAACTTGTTTTTTACGGCCAGACCGGAGGTACTTAACACACCTTGCAAAACTTTTCAAACTGAAAACTGCTTTCTGACACAAAGATTGATAGAAACTCAACCGAGCAGGCACAGACTACTTCTGCACACACAGATGTCCGATCCCTTTCAACAACATCATGTTTAGTACTGACACAGCTGTGATGAGGACGATGCAGACACAGCTGTGGTGAGGACCATCACAATTAAATTAAAAGGTCAGAAGGATTCAGCATGCTTGACAGTGCTGTTTTGGTTTGTCTTTGTTAAAAGTTGTTGTGAGTGGCAATTTCACTGTATTTAGCAAGTCACATGTCGGCTGAAATCTGTCTTACTACGGCGCTATGAACCAGAAATAAACAGATTTTACTGTGATTTCATTACAATAAACAGGTTGAGTGGATACTGAAATAACTACATTCTGATGTTGATTTGTAAAAAGCTTGAATCCATAATTTGTTTTGAGTTTGGATGGACAGGATGATCATTTTGACTCAAAATGATGATGCCATAGAGACCTCATTGCTGCTCTGCGTTCATGGCACAGTGCATATTTGAGTTGAACATATTGGTGTAAATTTCAGTCTTCATTTTGACTTTGCATGTAGTCTCACCTCACACAAAAAACACCTTCATGGCACACAGAGAAGCAGAAAACACACACACACACCTCTCCAGACAGTTCTCGTAGTTGACGGTGGCCTTGAAGCCGTAGATGGAGAAGGTGACGATGCTGGCGAAGATGGAGGTCCCGCTGTTGATGAAGGAGACGATGATGGCCTGCTGCTCAAAGTTGTTGTTGTACTGGTTGTAGCTGGCGAAAGCTATGAGGGACCCGAAACCCAGGCCCAGCGAGAAAAAGATCTGAGTGGCCGCGTTGATCCATGTGGTCGGGTTGGCGAGCTGCTCCATCTAAAAATAAGACAGCAGCACGTGTGGGAACAGGTGCAGACACACTAGCATATGAACAAATCTGAACACAAAGCATTACATTTTAAGAATTAATTGAGGCTGAAACAAAGGCACTATAACAGGGGGAGAATGTATTTTGAAATATCACTTAATCACTTAAACAACCCCCAGTTTCATAAAAAGGTCGTACATTGTGATGATTTGCAAAACACTGAAACTCCACATATAACAAAAAATAGTAGAGAAGTTTCATTGTTTTTGGATAATGATCTGCTCATTTGAATTTGATGCTGACAACGTGTTTCAAAAAAGTTGGGACAAAGGCAACAAAACACTGAAAAAGTTGTGAAAAGCTGAAAAATCACCTGTTGGAAAAACTCACAGAAAATATGGTTACCTAGCAACAGGTTAGTAACAGGATTAGAAAAAAAAAAAAAAAGAGCATCACAGAGAGGCAGAGGGTGCGCTCATACTGCTCCAGACTTAACCGGACCTGAGCACGGTTAACCCCTTTTACATACTGTACGTCATCAAGTAACGCATTCTCAGAGTCAGTACTATAGAGAACAACACAGAGAACATAAATGCAACTTTTACTGACTGTGTGGCTTATGTTGAGTCGTTTTGGTCAGATTCAACCTTTTACACTCCTGCATTTCTCGATTATGGAAGGCGGCTATCGATTAAATGTCATGTCCACGTTGCATACCAGTTCTTGTTAATGGCTAATGGTCATGTAGCTGCAGGAGCTGGGGATGGAAACCCTGACCTTCTGGTTAAGAGACATCTAACTCTACCACTTAGCCACAGCCGCCAAAAGCTTGTGTAATTGGCTCAGTTGGTAGAGTGGGTCAGGTCCCAACTGGAAGGTCGGGGTTCAATCACCAGTCAACATGTTAGGGCGCAGTACGTGTTTCCTAGTGTGAGTGTGCCCTTAGTCTTTCTCTGCTTGTTCAAATGAATATGGGGCTTGCAAATCATCACATCATGTTTTTATTTACATTCGATGCACTACCAACTTTTGAGAATTAGGGGTTGTACTTCTGATACAAAAAAACCTTGTGGAAGCTGTTTGTTATGTAACTTGTGGATGGTATGATTATATACAGATACAACTTGAACCCTTACCTTTGGTGTAAACATGTAAGCGACACCATTAAGGGCTCCATGAAGAGTGACACCTCTGATCAGATAGATGAAGAGGACCAAGTATGGAAATGTAGCTGTGAAGTACACCACCTAAAGAGGGATCCAGGGGGGGAAAAGTTAGAGCCAAAGTCTCAATATACAGGTGTGTTTGTGGGGTTTGGACCCTCAGACCCCCATGATCATCCAGTTTGGTCTACAGTGTTTCCTCAACTAAAAGCCAGTAGTCACACACAGGCTCAAGCTATTGGACCTAAACAAGTAAAGGCCTTTCCCGGGTATAGCAAACAGCTTTTCTGTGGTTTGGCTGTTAACAGTTAACAATACATAAATGCCCCCCCCCCCCCCCATAGTAGAATACCATTAAATAACCTCATGTCGTAGTTGAACATGTTAAGCCCCCCTTCATGACTGTTCATATTTCACACTAGCTGTAGAGGAAGGTCAGGGTTTAAAGGTGTTTTAAAACAGATTTCAACGTTTTTATGAATGTAAAAGACATCTCAGAGAAATTTCAGTCTGGTTTTAGCACTTCAGAAAGAAATCGCCTTCCGCAGAGTAGCAAACTACTTTCTTTTAGCTACTGATAAAGGAGAGAGATCAAGCGCGGCTTTCGACAAAGTAAATCATGGCAATTAAATTGAACGCCTCAAGACTTGGGATGGCGCCAAGGGGGCACCGCTTAGTTGGTTTAATACCTATCTATGAGACAGAATCTTTGCGGCCGCCATAGGTAACCACTCATTCTCCACCTCCCTTATTACCTGTGGGGTGTTCCGCAAGGTTTGATTTTAGGTCCACTTTTATTTTCTATTTTTATGCTTCCTCTCGGTAACATCATTCAATAACACAATCTCTCCTTCCAATTTTTATGCAGAGGACACATGGATATGCTTTTCGCTGAGACCTGGTGACCAAAGAAGCCTCTGCTTTCACCCCTGATGAAGGGTAACGACAACGATGCTTTGTCATAGCTTACATAGATGTTGCTGTTTGCTGATTAACGTCGGTTAACATCAGGTATTTTTAGCATTTAGGCACAAGAGGAAACAAAAATGCTTTCTGACTGATCACCTGAAGTCAAAAAATTACTTCTGCAACATTTCTGTAGTTTGGATGTTACAATCCATTAATAAGAATGAACCTAAACGGTTCCATGGTGCAACCAAACTAAAGACATAGATATTTGTAGTTTCTTTTAAATACAACATCTGTAGACTGACTAGCAGTGTGTCTGATCGCAGAAACTCAATGTCTCACCCTTCCAGTGGACTTGACTCCTCGGACGATGAACAGGTACGTAATGATCCAGCACAGCAAGAAGCAGAGAGCCTGGCCCATATGAATTCCTCCGTTCTCCTCAATAGAAGAAGAAATATCCAGAGTTTCTCTGTAGAAGAAATACTGAGTGGGCGTGGCCCGATCACACTCCTCCACAGGTCCTGTCAGGTTAGCATTGAGTGGACACTCCGCCCACGGCAACACGGACTGTGACATAAGAGAACACAGGGAAGGATTATTAAGCTGAAAGCTGAAACCTATTAAAAAAAGATATATAGTAGTTTATTGAAAATCAGCTCACTTGAAATGAATGAAAGAGGTACCAGAAGCTCCATGCGTTGATGATGTTGTAATAGAGACACAGATACAGAGAGGTCATAACACTAGCAAGACCTAAAGTGAGAGAATTAAACAAAAATTATGAATCAATTAAGATGCTTCTGAGTCTATCTGAGTCATCAATCCAGTCAAATCTCATTGAGAGACAAACCAAGCCCAAGCTTTGGTTTTTCTAAAAGGACAGAAAATGAATGTCTTACTTTCACATATTAATGCACATTACTTAGGTGACCAGTAAAAAAATAATAAAATCAATCATTAAAATCAGAATATTGTCCACGTGAGGTCGTGCCTGAGCCAAGTTCTAAAATACTCTTCAGGTCTTTACTTCTCTAAGCTGAGCTTGAACTATCTGTGAGTCTTCATGTTTATACTGTACCTAGGTCTTCGAGGGTGTATTACTGTTAAAACACAGAGCCAAATTATCCTTAAAATATTCATTATGTTGAGACCCTGGGAGGAGACGAGATGGTACCCTGACATTAGATTTTTAAAACATGCATGCGGAGCAGAACATCGACAAAAGCCTCACATCTTCATTTAGCCACGCTATAGTAGTATGCTAGCCTACTAAACAACCTACTCAGAAGTACAGCCTGGAGAGCGATTGTATCAACATTTTCAGCGAGCAAACGATGCGTAAGAACAAGGTCAGGGGTGTTTAAGAGCTTTATAAAATCCAAACTAAAAGAATTAGAGGAAGAGCAGCAGACATTGAAATTAAAACCAATCTGTGTGTAAACACTAACCGAGACCAAGAAATACCCGAGACCAGAGTGCTCCGAGACCGGGACAAGACAGAAATATTTAGGGATCGAGACCCAGTCAAGACCAAGATTAAGTCAGGGCGAGGCCGAGACAAGACCAAAACCAAGACCAAGACCAAGACCATAAATATCACTGAGAAATCATCAACTTGTGTTTAATAAAGATTCATAAAGTATCTATCTATCTCTATCTTTTAACACTGAGGGATGAAAATCAAACTACAAATTAGTTGAAATGATTTGTTCTCAGTGATGGCCTTGACCGGTTTTCATTTAAAATCCGGAGTCCGCCCAGTCTGAGACCGAGACCTTCAAAAAGACGTCTCAAGACCAAGACCGATTACGAGTACTACAACACTAGTGTGTGTCTTCTCTTTAGTGCAACATTTTCATGACCACATCTCGACTCTTTTTCTCACTATTCTTCACATTTCCACATTCATGTTTTTAATCTTTCACATGTCTTTTTTTCTCCGGTTTTGTCTTTAAGCTCAGTGCCTTACCCAATCCTCCTAAATATGGGCTGATGGCACTCCACGCCCCGATGCTGCCCAGACTCATCTTCTGACCGATGGCAAGCTCCAGGTAGAATAAAGGGATCCCCTCCAGAATCAGCATGATCATGTACGGGATCAGGAATCCTCCTGGAGGAGAAAATAATAATTAAACATGGAGAACAACAAAACACACCCTCTGATAGGGTTTTATTACATTATAATATGAAAGAAAGAAAGTGTTTTAAAGGTTCTGTTAAAAAGCTGTGATGTAACTTTATACAATGAGTTACTCATTTATTTGGTTTTATGATCAGAAATCCAGTTAAGTGGGGAGAACACTGAGGACGGCCGAGCTCGGAGTCTGTGAAGCGCACATGCAACGGAAAGATAGCCAATAAGGAAGCAAGTTGACTAAAGCAGGAAGCACAACAGCAATAACCATAGCGATTACAGCAAACATGAAGCATAAAGTTAGATAGACGTCATAAATGCAGGACCAACTTGCCACAAACAACCACAATCAAACTGACAAGGAAACGAGCCTGATCAAAATGTTTACTGTAATGGATGTACCAGAAAACAGCTAGCCAACAAGTGTCATAATTTCTCGTCATGTGCGTCAAAATCATTTAAAGGGGACATGTTGTGAAAAATCCACTTGTCAGTGTTTTTGAACATATATTTGGGTAACCTGAGAGTCTACTGACCCTCATAAATAGGAACAGCAGTCACTTGCCACCAACTTTGCCCCCCAGCCAGATCATTCCCCAAGAGATACCCCATCATTGGGAAATTGTGGACTAACTCCTACCACTACATGCCCCTAAATCTGATTTAAGATATACAGCATCCATGTCCACTGATCCCGCCATTGGACCCTATATCAAATCATGTCTCCTCTTTAAGCACATCATATTACCCTAAACCTGTAAGAATAGCAATGCATCTATGTATGAAGTTATCAAACTTCAACATAATCCTCCCTTTGGGGATTAACTAACCCCCAGCCATCAAACATTAAAACATCAACACAACAGTCTTCAATAACCATCACTTATTGATAAATACAACAGCCAATCATCAATAACCATTCATCAAAACAAGCTAAGGACATGCTGCTTCACCAGAAACATTCCCTTAAAACAACCAGAAATCCTTTTTGTGTATAATTTAGGCGATCACACAAAGTGCATTCTTTGTTGTGTTTCATGTTTTGTTGTGCAAAGAATATCATGTTAAGATGATTAACTACGCAATCATGTATATGTCTCAAAAATTACTCCAAAAAAACCCGCCACAGGGTGTGTGGTTAATGGAAAGCTATCTAAACCTGGGCGGCTGTGGCTCAGTCCCATGTGTCCTTGGGCAAAACACTTAACCCCAAATTGCTCCTTCTGCTTTGCCAGCAGTGTATGAATGTCTATGAACGGGTTAAGTTACTTCTAATGGACTCTTTACATAGAAACCTCTACCGTCAGTGTGTGAATGGGGGTTAATATGAAGGAGTGACCTGCGGTGTAAAGAGCTTTGAGAAGTCAGAAGACTAGAAAAGAACTATAGGATTTTTTTTTACCCGTAAGAATGTTAAGTTAAATCCTTAATGTATAAATCTCTTCTTATTCTTATTTTTTTAAATATATTTTAAATGCTTATTTACTATGTATCTATTCTTATATTGTTTTATTTGCTCTGATAACATGCTGCTGTAATGCCACAATTTCCCAATTTGGGATCAATAAAGTAATTATATTCTATTCTATCTTTCTTTGATCTATGCTCAATCAGACAGACAGAAATAGAAATACACACTCATACATATCTGACTTCCATCTGTGGGAGTTTTCAAAGGAAACTTTATCGCTAAGTAAGCGCTGCTTCTGATTTAACACGAACAGTGTGAGCACTCGGGCCGTTCCTCGACAATCGGACCATACAGCGTGAGCTCGTAAAGTCATTTGGTGAGCTTTGGTTTGTACGTTTTAAACAATTCACTCGTACAGTTTGACATTCGTACAGCCTACATCCAACCTGAGCAGGTGTGTGCTCTCATTTGCAGCTTGCAGAAGTGTAGGCTACTGTACATTTTATGGTTTATGTTTTTATTGCAATTCCATATCTAACGTGCATTTGAGTTTTTACGATAGTCAAAGCCATATAATTGCATAACAGGTGCATGTAAAATTCAAACTAATGACCATTAGTTTGATGCGTTAGCAATCACTTCTTATTCCGTATCAGCTGTCTGGGTGTAAAGTCTGTAAGGCCACAAACTGGTCACATTTCTACTAAATCATTCTCCTATTGCTTCCTGGTGCAGCCCACGTTTATTACCTGCTGTTAGGATAAATATATCTGCCTGCTTTCAACAACTCACCGTGTGATAAGAGCCTGATAAGGACTTGTTTGTAATATGCACCGCCACAAACTGCACCCCGCCAGCATGACTCAAAGCAACAGGTCATGAACAGGTAACATGTGACTGATATTGTTAGATGTTTGGTATACTATCTGAGTTTAATGTTTATTGTTCCATCTATGACGGTAATCATCTTTAACTGTGGCTGTTACAAAGAGCTTTAAGAACACTTTTGCCTCCTCAAAATTTCAGACGATAAGCTTTACGGGGCGGCAGAGGTTCAGCCAGTTCCAAGTCCCGGTGCAGACCAAAAAATATGGAAGTTGGTCTGGTAACTGGAAAGGTGCTAAGTCACTTCCTGAGTACTACAGAGTTACCCTTGAGCAAGGCACTCAAAACCTCTCCACTAATGCACGTCCACAGGTCCTGTTTGTGCCTGTGTGTAAACTTTGGGCCGGTGTGTGTGTGTGTGTGTAAGAAGCATGTCTCTCAATAACAGAGTGGAAACCAGAATTTCCCTCAGGATTGTATAACCTATGGGTTGTCACAATACCAGATTTTTAAACTTCAACAGGCCTACTGTTCTGGTCAACTCTAAATACTCGTTTAAATACCACAGCGACAAAAACAGCAGCTACAGACACAATATTGGGTAATATCTTGTTTTGATTTACCAAATATTGCAATTGAACTTCAGCACACTGACTATATTGCACAAACATATGGAACATATTTGTGTAATTTATACATTAAGCATTTGGTCAAAAATAAGACTGAAGATAAGTTTTGGTAATTTTCAAGAGGCTATGCTGTGGATCATTAAAATAACAGAGGCAGTTTTATGTTGATACAAGTGATATCAGAAAGTAATAAGTAGTACGCTGCCATATCCTTTAGGTAAAAAAACAAACATTTTAATGATCCGTCTGCTCTCATTTCTTTTAAGAAACTAAATTATGAATTTGAAAAACTCACAATAACTCAACCATGTGTGTGTGTGTGTGTGTGTGTGTGTGTGTGTGTGTGTGTGTGTAATTTCAAGCTAAATGTTTAAATTTAAACTGAAAATACACATTTGAGGCTCTATATGACACATGACTTTTATATTCATTTCCCTCATGTTCATGTATTTTACTTATAAAATCAAGTGTTATTGAGTATATCATAGGAATATTCTAATAAATTTGACTTTGATGTTGTTAAATAATTATAATCTAATGTTTTTGCTTCACATAATCAGTCGATTTAATCATTTACATTTTGTTTTTATTCTTTGGGAAAAAAAAGTTTCTCTCAAACGTTGCAGGATAGGAGGACAGGTGAATGTCTAACATGAGAAGTGCTCTCTATTCAAATTCCTGTTAGACTGTGTGTGTGTGTGTGTGTGTGTGTGTGTGTGTGTGTGTGTTTGAATAATGATCAGTCCCGTTATGTAAGCGGCTCTTACCTCCACCGTGCATCTGACAGAGGTACGGGAACCTCCACACGTTCCCCAGACCCACCGCGTACGAGACGCACGCCAGCACGAACTGCATGGGGTTGTCCCAGTTGGGTCTTTCATCTTTTCCCATGTCTGCGTCTCCGTTAGTGTGTCCACGTTGTCGTTGTTGTTGTTGTTGTTGTTGTTGTTTACAGAGCAGCCCAAACCTGTTGAGAGTCACGGGAACAATTACCAGAGCGGCGGATCGGTGCGTGCTGCGCGCTTTATGATCCGTCTGTGATTGAAATGTGGCCACACTGAGGAGGAGGAGGAGGAGGGTCCTTTACAACTACTCCTCCCGTGAGCCTTCTGCTGGAGAGTGCACAGTCGAAGCTTCTTGGGAAATGAGGTCCTTTAAAAAGCTAACGACTGCAGATACACCTGTTCGAATGGAAAGGTGTTTAAATAAATATCCCGGTGTTTATTAGTGTAATAAAACTATAAAGAGATAAGTTCCTATTGGCTGCTCATATTCAGTCATCATATTTCATGTGTTTGATGAATTGGGAATGTTTTGCTGTAGCTGGCGAGTTAAACAGGTTGCCATAGCAACACATGAAGTTTAAAAAGCTTGACTTTTATTTAATATATATTTATTTGTTTATTTGTTTTCCTTTAAATGCAATCTTAAAAAGCAGGTTATACTGCTAATTCAGTAATTTATCAGTCAAGATGTTTTTATTTTTGTTTGTTATGTTGTCGTGTCGATAAAGTTTCTTTGAATGTCACATGACGTTATTGACCAGAAAGCTGGGCTCCGTTTATTCCTCACCGATGGTCAGCATGCGGACACGTGCTTCACGGTGTCTCCATGATGTGTCTTCTGTGAAGATTAAAGCTTTGTTGTGGACATCAGTTTGAATCGTGAACTTTTTACTGACCGGGCAGTAATATTTGCATAATGATCCTCAGTGAGAGGTGGAGGCAGCTGTCAATCACACTCAAAGTGCGGTGGGCGGAGCTTGGAAAATAACCAGGTGAATGTTTGATTGTATAGGCTATCTCTGCCTCCTGAGGAAAGTCTGAGCCTTGTTGTCTTTCGCTGACCCTGAACCTGAACCTGAACCTGACTCGACACTAAAGCACTGTTTTCATTAACTAACCCACTTCTCTCTCAGACACATACAGGCCTACATGGACTCCATTCGACCTTTTGTTTACATTGTGGCTGTGAAACTAACAGGCGGTGAGGCTTGTAGAGCCACTTAATTCATTATCTTAAAGAAACCTTCGCTGTTTTATTAGAATGGGATATTAAATTGGATGAATTCAATTTTAATCAGCAATGAAAAGCAATGGATCGGTTCTTTAAATTGTGCAGGTCGTGTGTTTTAAAACTCAATCAGACATTTTTTTCTATTTTCCTAATCTGCATTTCAATAAGAAATTGATATCTGAATATTCTGGATAAATTTTTACAAAGGCTTTAAGGCATATTTCATGCACTAAAATGTCTGAATCATATTCCAACTATTCATTACTTCCTTCTTTAACCTTTACCGTATTTATTTTGTCTTTTTTTTTTTTTTACAGGCTGAAACATCAAGGGCTCAAAAATTAAGCTAACACTAAAGTGAAAAAAAAAATGCAGTTCCTTGAGTGTCCACTTGAGGCTGTGTCCAAGAGTGAGTCAATCCCTATAGAGCCCCATTTTACATCAGAAATTAATTCTTTAAAGCAGGGTACAAAAACAGTTTTGGTCTCTATCGCTAATTTCTCTATTTATGACAATTGTACAGGTTGAATTTTTATAGGATTCTGCTGTTTAAATTGTATTAAGTGACATTTTTTAACATTATTATTATATAATTGAGTAATGACTTTCTAAAAACAGACTGAAGTCTAACTTCCTCTGGGTTTGTTGTTCTCAGCGCTGTGTTCACACTGACGAGATGTTGCTTCCTTCAGCTTGTTCATGTTTCTCTCAGAGAATCTAAAATGTTTCATTCATACATTTGTTTTTTTTCCCCTAAGCTCCTCCCTTTCCCACCGTTTGCTTTACCACCATGCGGGGAAAGAGAAACCATGTGGAGTCTCAAAGGTGTAGTTTCGTTGCAATTAGAGTACAACTTTAAGAGGACCAACAGACTTTCAAAAACTGAAGAAAATACTCTTATCTTTGGTATAAAATACTTCTATGGGCTGCATATCTAAATGGAGATAAGTCGCAGAAATGGCTGCACTCGGTCGGAACAACAATGGAGAGTGGGGAGGATGTAAACTGAAGGAGATGATATATACACACTGTTTTCAGTGGAGCTGTTGCAGATGAGCTAAGCCTCTGTGTTGCTGGGTAAATGGAGATGCACACTAACATATAGAGTGATGTAAAGATGTTGGTCCCCTTGCCAGCTCCAGTTCAGGACGGCTCTGTCAATTGAACCAACTTTGACCCCGCCCCACCAACACCAGGTTCTAGTTGGTGGACAAAGTGTGTGTTCAGGGTTACTGTGTCAGGAGGAGGACACTACTACACTGAGATTTATGGACCATCTGCCTCGTGACCCTGTTTGTTTACAGCGAGACCGTGCCAGAGTTGATCGCTGTCTGCGTGGAGCACTAAATATATCATTAGCGATGACATGAAGTCATGGTCAGCTGAGGTGTGACCTGCAGGTGAGCAGATCCAGCACAGTTTCCTCGTCAATTCTGACAGGACAATATCTGACCTATCAGAGGGTAAAAGGCAATAACCAGGTAACTGCCGTGGCAGGAAACCACAATCCTGACTCCTATGCAGAGGCAGTTGCAAATAAAATATATATTTTTTAAAACGCTAGAATTTGAATTTGAGTGTAAAGCTTGAGTTCAGACTTGGACTGTCAATAAACTGCATAGCAAAACAGATTATTTGTCTGATATTTGCATGAAGCTCTAGCGTAAGTTCAGTCAGGAAAACTTTAATTGCCTTCTTTCTCATTCTTCCCTTTTTGCACGCTAACTCATGTTTTAACTCATCCCCTTTTAAATATGATTCTTTCTCTCCTTTAGTTTCTTCATGCTGTTTTTTTGTGCGCCCCTCCTCCTCCCCATTACCGCCAGTCTTCACAGATTCATCATCCATCAATTCTTCACCCATCCGGTCTAATCATTTATCAGCTTTACCACCACCAGGGTCTGGACTCCATGGGGGGGGATTTATTCTGTCCACGCTCAGAAACATTCTCCAAACACATCAACCTCCCCATAGAGCCCGAGCGCCAAAGTATTTCTGTCAAGTCACTTTTCCATGTTATTCACTGTAATAAATCATTTTCTTAATTCACTTGTCTCTCCTGATTGAAATAGAAAATCTCCAAAAGGCGGCCCAGAGGTTAAAGTCAGTGACTAAAGCTGAGGTGACACCAAGCAGACAGTTAGCTGCTCATCACCTGTCACTCAAAAAGACAACGGCCCTTTTTACAGACGTATAACTTTAAGTCTTAAAGGTATAGGAAGGTAATCTGTCGTGATGGTTAGTAATAAGCACGGAAATTTACGCCAAAGTGTTCATCTTTGAGTAGTTTTGTAAGTGTGGAAAAAGAAACTCAAAACTTAAGGGACAGGCTGTGAGACATTTTAAGGAGAGCATGTGTGAAAACAGCTTTTGAAAGAAGGCAGATGATATTGTTGTTTCCTTTAAAGACATCGGTTAGTTTTTAAGTGTTAAACATTTCCTTTCTATTTCCAAGTTTTGTGCACAAACTTCATTTGACCCTGTTCACCGCTTTTCCTGCTTCCTGTGTGTTTGATTGGACATGGTTGGTTTAGATCCTGCACAGTCAGCCAGCGGAGGTGCCAGGCAGCAACTTGTAGTTGCCATACCAACGCAAAAAAAAGATCTGGCCCACTAAAAAAAGAGCAATCAGATGTTTAGCTGTGAAAACTATGGGAGGAAAACATAAAAAAAAACATGATTACAAACAGATCTATCTTTGACAACATGCTTGACATTTGATTGATTTGCATTTTTTAGTTTTTGATCTAATTGTTTTTGTTCCAATTTACAAATTTTAATTTCATATTTTCATAACTTTACCAGGATTTTCATGACGGTATACAAAGCCTGGAACATTTCGAAAGTTTGACCACAGCTGTCATCATACTGGTGTACAAATCTAAATTTTCCAAAGTGATCGGCCTGAAGGAAACCTCTGGTTGAAACGTTGTCATTAAAGATACAATATGGACTCTCAATCAATACAACAAAAACAAAAGATGACGTTGAGGCTAGCGGTCAATCATGGGAGTTCTCTCTGCAATTCCCCGCTTCCTTATGTAGCGGTCTTCGACATAGCATCTGGTGTTTCCACAGCAACGATAAACATTCTGTCTGTCATGGCTGCTCATCATGGCGACAACGTCCCGTTGCAATTGTAAAATTAGAGATTTCTCTGGTTTTGATAACTGTTGGAAATATTTGAGGTAAAGAAAGTACTCAACAATAAAATATTAAATCCATTTTTAATAAATTTAGATATTTTAATGTAAACATTGTCATAAAATTTGACATATTTTACGTTTAAATAACGTTTTTTTTATGGTATTAAGCAAGTGCACGGGCATATCTTCTTTTTTTGCATTCGATTACCAAAGGCACATTGGTACATGAGTTGTGAGTTTTAAAAAGAAAACAGCATTCACTTGTGAACGGTTTGGAACACAGATTAAAGCTATATGCATTTTTTTACTCAAAAGTACAGTATGAAAAATCAGATCAGAGTCTATCTCAGTGGAGAAGAAAACGATGGTGGAGTTTTTCACCGATGGATGAGACTAAAAATGGATTAAAAAAAAAGTATTGGGTGTAGTGTTTAATAATTACTGCATGCATTCCCTCACTCACACCAGCTGATGATTCACTATTTAAAATATTCAGAGATTCTCCACATAAAACACGGACTAAAGCATGTGCACGGTCCAGTTAAATGACAGAGTTGAATGCACACCAGCCTGCGTCAGTTTCAGTTGTGTGCTTTAGTAATGTAAAACCAGCAGGAGACTTCTTTCAAGCTGTGCACACGCTGCATTGTTTCTCACTCTGCTTACATAACAATCCAAAACGGACAGCTTAACGTAAATGATTCTAAGTAATCAGACGGGCACGAGGAACAGACAGTTGAAAAAAACATCACAGGAATGCGAGGCATAGTGGCTTCTGGTTCTTTGAAGGTATGAAGAACCAGGAGGCACTTTGAGCGTTTAGTTTTGCTGCTACCTCTGCAGGGAACTTTCTCCAAAATGACTTGAAAATGGCAGATCTCATTTCGGTTGAAGCCTTTGGCTCGATCTGAAAAGACAAAAAAAACGTGAGACAATTGGAGAGTGCCTGATGTGTTTCTGAATTGTAATCTGTGATCACGACTCTGCAAACCAATTTGTAATTGTTGTTTTATCTCTGTTTTATCTTATCTGGATTAATTACCTGGTGTTCTCTCTCTCTCACCCTTTCTCTCTCTCTCTCTCTCTCTCTCTCTCTCTCTCGTCCGCCTGTTTGTAAACTGAGCACGCTTCATAATAACATAAAGCGTGCATGTGTTGTATTACAACGTTATGTACAAGAGGTAATCGTGCTTAAGCACGGTTAGTCCTGGCCAGTGTGACCGCGGGCCGTGCCAGCCAGCGGAGGAATGGCGCAGCAGGGGGGCCGATCGTGCTTGAGTACGGCACGGTACGGATGGCCAGTGTGACCAGTCATCCTGCATCTACTGTCTGAAGATCTGTAGTCTGCTGCTGAAGTTGTGGGTAAAGATTTGGGAAAAAGCAAAGACCCTAGCTGCCAAAACTAGTGTCCTGATCCAGCTGAGAAAACAGAAAATACAAGGTCATCCTCTATGGATGTTTGTTTGACCCTGAGACTGGAGATCATCCATCAGATAATTCCACTAAGACATCTGAAGGCACTGTTCATACCGTGTCATTGAGAGACTTGAGAGATGTAAAACAGAGCTGTCGTTTGGCTGCCGGCTCTGACTTTACATATCACCACCGTCTCGATCTATCAGTTAATCCTCTGTTACTCAGCGGGCTCAGAGTCGGGACAACTTCGCCCCATCACGTTTAGACTACGTTCACACTGCAGGCAGGAGGGACCCAAATCTGACTTTTCTTCTTTTTTCTTTAGTTTGAACATCACAAAAAAGGGAAAAATAAAATGTCAGTGCTTAAGCACGGTTAGTCCTGGCCAGTGTGACCGCGGGCCGTGCTGGCCAGCGTGAGAATTGCGCAGCGGGGGGCCAATCGTGCTTGAGTACGGCACGGTACAGATGGCCAGTGTGACCGCGCCCTTAGGTGACATCCAAATAATCAGTGAGTATGTTCTTCTTCTTCTCTCTAGTTCTTGACTAAAACAGCTTTTATACACAAGGGGAGGAGCCGGCTGTCCTGTCCATGTAAACACGGCTCTGACAACAACACAGCCAGCGGGACTCGAGCTTCTTACTCATTGTAGACTCAGAATCATTTACAGAGGACATACTTGATTTCTGCTGTATTTATGTGTAATATAAGATAAGATAAGATAATCCTTTATCGAAGTGCTGCAGCAGTAAAAACAACAGGAAGAACATGCAGATGAGTATTAATAAAATTTGAATATATAGGAATAAATCAAAATAAAGATAAAGGTACTACGTATTTACAACTATTATAAGCAAGATGTCTGTCAGTGATTTGAAGAAGACAGACTTTAGGACCCACTGTTGTTGTACAGTCTGATGGCAGATTGCACATCCTTCCCTTAAGGCTTCGATAACAATGAAATGTTGACTCTTACATTCATTTGAAAAGTGGTATTCCTGTTTGTGGAAACATGTTAGTGTGTATAATCCACAGACCTCCGTGTGAACTGTTTTCATTGAATCTTCTCCCAGCTAAAGAAACTGTTCCAGATAAACGAAGACGTTCAGCCTTGACGGGTCACCGCGACTCTCAGATGGAGCTGGTTTTGTAACGTCCCACGTGTGGTGTCTCGCTGTGTCCCACTTTACTGTTGTTGAGTCCCCACATACCACAGACCATGTTTGTCAGGGCCGGTTTGGGGCCACCGACTCAGCAGACGGGATGTTTTTTGTTTTTTTTTCATTCACTGATGGACAGACTTGAATGAACACGTTCAATATGAGTAAGTTCTGCACTGTAACAACAACAAAAAAAACTCTGCTCATTATGGTTAAAGGCTGAGTTAAAGGTTAAAGGCTGCACTGTAAACCCAGTCTCCTCAGCTGAATGAGCACTTAAAGAACTCACCCTGAGAGAATATAATTAGTCTGAGTTTCCTTAATCTCTCCTGACGGACTCTTGGTGCTCCTGCTGTTTGATTCCAGTTAGGACAAACACATCATGACTGTTAAAAGCGGTCAAATTATTACAGTGAATAGGAAGGGAACAATTTAAACAGAAACATTTCCAAGAAGACTCCAACATGTCTGTAAATGTAAAGCTGCATAGACGGGTGTTCTCAGTTTGAATTTAGTTAAAAACATATATTTTGTGTTGTAAATTGGTCCCTAACCAGTAGGCATGTAAAGGTATTTGCATTCTTATTGAACAATTACGGTTCAGGCTTCAAGATTTGGTGCATAGGCAATCACACCCCCATCCAGGGGGCAGTAATGCTGGCAACTGTTTGCTTACCGCTATTAAACAGCAAACGAAGAAGTAGAAGTAGGCCACAAAACACAAAAATTACAGGAGTAATATACGTGGCCATATGACCCTGCTTGCTTCTTTAAATCAGCTGTGTGAAGAAACCTATATATAGGGTTTGCAGTGCGGTCGAACATGTAAAACATTTTAATGATAATTAGACATCATCACTGAGAGGTGCCAATCAGCCGAGCTCGGCAAAAAAAAAGAGTTTTCAGAGTCCTATCTTCAGTTTGTTTACATCGCCGGGATGGCCGGCTGACTCCTCCCCTCGTGTATAAAAGTTGTTTAATTGAGGGACTAGAGAAAAGAAGAATAACATACTGTACTCACTGCTTAACTGTGTTTCTAGATCACGCTCATTTCAGGTAAATTTACATGCAGTGTGAAGATACCAGCATAATAAAGATCGCTAGCATTAGCATGCTAACACAACAATGCACGGCGAGTTGTTTTGGTTTCATGCTGCTGCTCAAGGGCGACATCTGCTGGATCAAAAAATCACATATAAAGCCTTTAAACAGCTCCGTTTTGATTTCATGACCGATACGAGTCATCCATTGTTAGGTATTGACATGTGGGCGTGATGTAAGGGTTCGTCAAGAGGTTTAAAACCCGCCTCAGCTCCAGCTCTCAGCCCGTCCTTAAGTCGAGGTTAGGCTGAGACAGGATTTCCAACATGGAAATGAAGCATTGTTATTTCAGCCTGTCAGTATATCTGGCTCTGGTGGCTGATGTAGAAATAATCTGAATCAGACAGCAGATTGGACATTTCAATCCTGCCCTGTAGGTCTGTGAGGCAGGATCCTGATGGAGGCTCCAGTGTTTGGGCCTGTGCTCCGCTCTGCTGGAGATCTTGTGATGCTGTGGATTCAGGCTGCAGCTGCACAGCACAGAAGAGTCTGTTTTGCCTGGTTCCCCACAGAAAGGACACGTTTACTGCCCTAGATACTTGCCTCTGTCTGTGAGGCTGCACCTGGATGGTGAAGAGGCTTGACAAACACAATGTGTGAAGAGGAGAGAGAGAGAGTGACTGTAGAGAGAGAGGGGGAGTTAAGTGACCAGACATGGAATTTAAAAACTCTGAATGACGCTAAAACTGTGTCCTGTTTCCATAAACCATGAGGGGTCATGGCCTCTGGGACACTCTGAAGAGAGGGACAGCTGGGGCCATCAAACACCCAAACTTGATGCGGCACTGTGCAAGGTATTTTATCGATTTAAACAACAGCAACTAAACAGATTCCAGAAAGGTAGAACACTCACATATGCAGATATCTTGCCAGCACCCTGGTACTTTTTTTCTTCATGAAGTCCAAGAGAGTGAATTCCCCCGCTAGGGAGGTTGAGTGACCGGTGCATGACCATAGATTGCATTCACTCACAGCACCAGTTCACTGGCTGGGAGCTCCATGTGTCTCTATGACCTGCCAGCCTCACCCTCCCAGTTGCTTCTTTCTTACTCAGCATTGGCAGCCCCCCCATATATCTCATTAATGGTGGAATGCTGCCTGCTTGATGTTCAGCACTATATTCTAGTGTGGCATCCATCCTGGGATTCAGTGTGCGCCTCAGGGTCCAGCAGTCACATCCATACAAGATAACCGACTCCACAGTTGCAGTAAAGAACCTGACCTTTGTATGTCATGGGAGGTTGGACTCCATGACCCGAGGTATTTGAGTCATTGACCTGCCTCAGCATTTAGCCAGCTGAGACCAACTTTGGCGCATTCTGTCTCCACTCTCGACAGAAGTTCCCTGGTTTGCCCGACATGGGTCAGATAGCAGGCTGGTGCTGTCTGCAAAGTGCAGGTCTGATAGGGTTCCCTACTGCAGGGAATCTTCTGGACTGCCTTGGTTTCATAGTGAGGCTGAGCTCCTGCTCCTGTCCACTGATGGCTTGCCTGAGTGCAAAGTCCAGGACTGCAATGAAGAGGAAGGGGGCAAGTGTGTCCCATTGCAACACCCATGTATGGATGTCAAACTCCTCGTTAATGCCATCTGGGGACACAACCCTTGTGCCTGTGCCTGTGAACATATTCGTTATGACCTGAAGATGGTTTGGAGGACCAGCATAGGCCTTGAGTATTCTCACCAATCACCCAACATAATAGTTAACATCTTCAGACAGTGAAAGAGCTTACAGGAAACAACGTCAATAATTTCAAAAAGAAGAAATAACTGACAGCAGCCATCATTTCAGAGCTAAGCAGCTATTTTTGGGTCCGTCCGGTTGTTTTTAAGTTAAAACAAAAAAGAAGAACAGAAGATTTGTTTGAGTTGACATTCGCAACTTTAATGTGGATCTTTAAAAATGACAGTTTTGTTGAAGATGTTCGATAGAATCACACTTCGGTGAGCATAACCTGATCATATTTGTGTCTTCAGTGATTCATCCAAAACGACATAATCTCTGATTTTGTGCCACATTAAAGTAATCCTTTATTTAATAACTCCTCCATTCAGGCAACAATTATGACCAACAGTTATGAAATATATACCCTTCTGACTTATACCTTAGCTTAAGTTATGTGATGTTTGGGTAAAAAGTCTACTTTCATTTAAAAGCAGGGTTGGGAAATTTTCGAAAGTAGCATTCCCTCAGTGCTCCGTCTACACCCCCTCCCCTCTGTGCTCCCTCAAAAGCCACGGCCCCTCACTAACATGCACGAGCACCGTCACTCCAGAAGGGGACCTCAGCTCATCGCTTGCATTGTGTAGAAACTATGTCGTCTCATTCAGCGGTAAGTAAACTCGCAGTATAAACTCTATCTTGTGTGGGCTAGTTCACGCAAGAGGTAGAGAACGAGCAGGGAGACAGGAAGGCTGTGATTGGTTCATCAGATTGGTACCTCTTGGCAGACATTGGTCAAAGTTTTTACATTACAACTACATTACAACTGCTACAGATGACGGATTTTCTTTGTTTCTTTTTCAGAGAACATGAGTTATTAATTTCTGTCAGGACCTAAAGACAATTTCAACCCAAATCCTAAAAAGTGCATCTGGAGGAAAATAACCAACCCTGCCTTTAAGGGTTAAAACATTTTATAACGTGGTGAGAAATGACTACTTCCTGATTCTGTCAGTCAAACTGAAAATAATAATGAATCTGTGTCATTGCTCCGTCTGTTGTTTTGCATTCAACATTTCTTTCTCGTCATTAATCAACAGTTTAAGGTTCCTCACAGCGCTTTAAGGACTTTTTCTACAGGAGAAAGTGGACCTGGACCCGGCCATCATCACAGCCTTGGAGGTCCCTCTCTTTGGCTCTCCTGATTCGGTCGAGTTCATTCATCATGGGCAGAGGACCTTCATACATGTTGGTCTTGATGGCTCTCAGCTTCTCCTGGTAGTCCTTGGGCAGGCCGTTCTGCTCTGCGCCCATCACTATCACCTGCAGAGGGTTCAAAAACCAGAGTTATTCTTCACCCTTTAACTTCAATAAAGCAGCCAGAAATCCTAATTTCTCTGCTCTAGTTATTGTTTTAATATGAAACTCAGCCTTTTAAATATGTGCTGTTTATTGGCCTATAGTTTAAAACAAGAAACAATTGAGGGCCAGTCAGTGTAATGATCATCCTAAAGTCCTGAGAGTGCATCAGAAATCGTCAATTTGAAACAGCAGAATCCACAGCTGAAACAGGACGCTGGTTGTTGGTGTCCAGCAGAGAAGTCCTGGGACTAAACACAGGCAATCGATCACCACATTGGGCACCGGCCAGCTTTAAGTATAGCTGGAGGTAGAAGGAAGGTTAATACAGACACATTCAAGGGATAGGAGGGAAAGTTAATCCATCTGTGTGAAAGTCCAGTGGATGGTACAAACATTGTCGTGGAAAAATACTATATGTCTGTTGTCTTCGTTTGACCTTAAAAGATTAGGATGTTCGTGCGTCATTTAGCAATTAGAAGCTGTTTCTCTGTATGACCATGGTTTGTATCTCTAACAGGAACACTCCTACAGGTACAGCATGACCTTAGATCAGTGCCCTCCTGACAAAGGAGTTTCTGTTGGTGTTCCTCCGTACCAGGTACCTTATAGAAAGAAGCTTGCATAGATAAATCACCAGGCAAACTAGCAGAAGGCGTAGTCACTAGGGCAAGCTGAAACCAATGACGATGTATTACTCATGTACATGCAAAATACCTCCACCCTGTGAAAGTATAAATATGCTCTGCAACCGGGACTGCCCCGGGACTCCTTGATGCACTTGTGACTGACGTTACTTTTGCAGCTGATTATTACCCCTTTTGCAAAATAACTTTTTATTATATGCAATAAAATACACAAAGACAAAAGACTTTGACTTGAGAGCTTTCATTACCAACAGAAAAATCCACAACAACATGTACAATGAAGGTTCGTTTTCTGACAAACCTCACAGGTTAGGGTTACTCTATGAATCATTTATAGCTCTGAGAAAAAGTCAGGGGTGGCTTCTGAGTCACAAAAGCTTCTCACAGAATGAAAGTCCTGCAGGTTTTTGGCCCCATTATGTTAAAGTTTCTGTAGAAGATCGGAATGAACTCAATCCAAACTTGTCTGCAGCAGTTGATTTAGGATTTTACCCCAAATTTAACAAAATCTAATAAAACAGAAGATGATCCATTTATCCATCCACCCACCCATTTGTTCGTTCGTTCGTCCATCCATCTTTCCATCAACCATCCATCAACTGTCTATCCATCCATCCACAAATCCATTCATCCATCAATCAATATGTCAATCAATCCATGAATCTGTCCATCTTCCAACCAGCAATCCATCCAATCATCTTTCGTTCATCCAACCATCCTTTCGTTTTTGCCTGTGGTTTATTTGGCAGGGACAGATGCAGTATATATGAAGAACTGAACAACAATTTTACAATGCACTAGCTTAAAATGCAACACAGCATTTTAAGCTAATGCTAATTTCTAATGCCTGTCCCTGAAACAGTGTTCAATAAAATACTACAATAAAAATGTATGTAGAGCATGCTTACTGAAAGAGCTAATCTATATTACATTTGGATGACAGTTATACAAAGTTTCAAGGGTTGCCAGCATGAATTTACAGATACAAACCCTACACACGCACATACACACACATGTACATGTACACACATACCTTCCACTCTCCCTACCATGCTAACACAACCCCCTACCCCTTTTCACCCATTCATCCTCCATCTGTCCATCTATCCATCCATAATATGTCTGGTATAACTGACATTGGTAGAAGTGGTAGAAGAGGTGTCATAATGTTTTTTTTCCAGCAGAGGGCACGTTGACTCCATGGTTTACAAACATCTCAGCAGTGACTGCAGCACATGAAGCAGTTACATCACAGCTGAGCTGACGCTGGTTAACACTATGTTTAGTAGAAAAAAAAATGTATGTGTTGAAATGTCTTCAATTAAGTTATTTGTTGAATCAAGCAGCGTTTTGTTGACCTTTGTCGACTTATTTTAGTACAGTTCATCTCAAACGTTTACTATATTGGCTTGAATATAAAATAAACTGTGAATTAAACTTCCATACTGTTTGATCAGACCAGCTGTGCATCAGCAGCCTTTGAGCACCAGCTGTAGTCTTCTGTCAGAAACTAAAAGGATGTTTCCACATCACATTCAGACCGTACAGTAGTGTGACCTGGACAGGAGGGAAAAGACTGTACAGGATGGAGCGTTGAGCAGAGGACAAATGTGGTCTTTCCTGGACCCCGTGTCAGAGTGTGTGTGAAAACAATGTGCTGGACCACTGCCCACTATAGAGCTCAGAGCTCCGACCACAACGCCGCTCTGTTTTTCTTTCAGGCATGTTTGGAATATGTGCACAAGAACAATCTGGTGTTCAGATGTGTAAAACATGACAGAGGGGGCGTGTCCTCCACACTGTTGTGACCTGCAGAAAACAGAGTCAGGTGATGGGGGTGTGACAGACGGAGTGTATTTCCAGATGCTTCACACAGAGAATGACAGTTGGAGTGATTCTGTTGTTTTCCTGATTCAGAACAAGCTCATTAAAACAACATGTTGGACATCACACAGCGTGAGAGAGGGCCTTTAAAGGTCATATAAATCTAAAAAGATAATTATATAACAATACTTAAATGACCCACAGAGGGAGATATTGAGGTAACATGGTTAAAAAATATTAGCAGGACAATGCAGATTGGTCAAAAATGTGATTCATGATTTGTGCAAAGCAGGAAAGGATAACATCTTTTAAATGATTCTTTATTGAACTTTGGATGGTTTCATGCAGCTAAGAAATTAAGGAGAATTTTACTGATTGGCTTCACGAGCAAATCTTAAACTGAGGTGATAAAATATGAACTGCAAAACATGCAAAGCACACTGATCGGTGTCTTTTCTACATGTAATTTGCGCAGCACAAATTCATATCTATATGCAAAGCTACACTGGCTTTAAAATGATTTTTCAAGTTTGGTCTGAACAGACCTTTAAGGTGAGGTAAGTGTGGCTGATTTGCATTTATCTTTCCTCTGCATACATGATTTTTACCGGGAAACTGTGCATGTCCAAAAAACCCAAGCTGACTTTTGTAGGGGATTCTCCTCTGCTCCACCTTTCCTCCCATCTCTCCATGCACATCCAGTTTCTTATTTCTTTCACTATTTATGGAGCTTCTCTTCCTGTTTTAGAGATGACATTTTGAGACAAATGATGCTTATGGTTGCACATGTGTATCCATTTAGATTAGTTCAATTTAAAACTGTCTTGTCTGTACCCTACCGGTCCTCTCTTTCATGTGCATTTTGCCTAATTTCCAACTGCAGCAGATGCATTTCAACACAGTTCTTGGTTTTTCTTACTCAATGTGAGATGTTCTTTTTATATATTTTAGGGGAGGGGATTCTACAAGGTCAGAGCTTCAACCACATCTTCTGGGTCCTACAACCTCACCAAACTTTATCATGGTAAGATCAGTTAACGTTTAAATTTCTCACAAGACTCTGGACTAAGAATGTAAGAATGTAAAAATTGTAGTGTTCTTGAGATGTAGGCTATATGTGTGCTTGTGCAGACACAGTATCTAGGAATGTATTCACCAGCACAGTTTGTCCTTATAATCCAAACTATTGAAAGATGTTACATGCAGCCCTGATGTCTCTCTTCCTGGTTCTCCCTCTTCCCTCTACTTGCTGCACACCTGAGTGCAATTTACACTCAGGGAGGAGGAGGGGGATTTGGAGGAGCAGGAAGAGGGCGCTTTGAAATTCTCTTTTTTTTTTAACAAACTGTCTGCTCTTCTTCTGGGCTATTCTGCATTTATTTCAGAAGTGATCTCTCAGGGTGAGTCTGTGCACTTAGCTGTGAATCTCTGGGTCTCTGCGCGCGTTGCTGAGCCTGCATCCATTCACATTCTTCTGTAAAGTGTCCATCATTATTAACTAATCCATTCATACACATTCACACGCCGCTGATGTAGTACAAGGAGCAATTTGGGGTTAAGGGTCTTGCCACATCAAGGACAAATCAACTGTGACTGCATGCAATGGGAACCAATTGACGACGACACAGCCATCCCATCACCACAGCATCATGCTTTTCAAACATCCTTTGAAAACATCTGAAAAGATTTCTGTGTTTGTCATTACAGCTGCTTGTAAAAAATAAAACCTCCTCAAGCATCCCACACTGAAGCACTGAGAAGCGGTGAGTATGTCTTACCCGTAGGTACTGAGGTGATGGAGGAGCGTACACACAGCTGTTCATGATGTAGGTCCGACAGCTGAGCTCCTGTCCTTTAGTCTTCACTGGGAGCTCCACTGGACTGTACGCACCCAATGTCACATTCTCCTGACTGAGTGTGTGCACACAAACACACATCATATGGTAAATTTCAGGTTCACAAAAAAACGTTGAAGGACATGTAGAAGTTCCTAAAAGAAAACCCCCTTACCTGTCCAGGGACTCGAGGTCTGTCATGTTCATCCTCCACACCACCCCCCATACCTCGTCTCCAGGGCTCTTCTCGATGGTAGCCACACCGCCGTGCCACCGGTCACTTGCCAGGCCTTTATAGTTCCCAAACACCAGTTTATATTCCTGAGTAATAAGATGAGTCGGTATGAGAGAGTACAGGTCATAAAGGACGTAACATTGATGGTCCAGATGTTAGTCTGTACCTTGAGCCGGGCCACACAGTGGACCGTGGCAGACGGGTTCTTCAGCTGAAGGCGCTCCTTCAGCAGGTTACTGCCATAAGCAAAGTACAGGAAGGTGTGGTTATTCTCCATGTTGTTCCTGAACGGGAAGAGGAAGGATAAAGATGAAGATGAAGGTGAAAGAGGAGAAGAGAGGAGTCGAGTGTTCAGAGGAGAGAAGCTGAGAGAGAGAGAGCGAGCTGCAGAGTGACAGAACACCTTCCAGCACTCACACACCATTCTCATGCTAATCCCTCAACTAACACTGAGGCCTATTCAAACTCACAATACATTGTTAGACTCATGCCAACCACACACACACACACACACACACACACACACACATAATCGTGTGTTGCTCTTAGCGTTGGGCAATGAGCCAAATTAAATAAAACACACCTTCACAGTTATCTCATAGCTAAGTAGAACTTTATATAAGAGTGTGTTTACCTTGACTTAATAAAGTGGAGATAGTGCATAACAACAGAGTCATATTTGGGCTACAAAAGATGCTTCAGAGGTGTGTTTTGTATTGAAAAACAGTCAAATTGGATGTAATTGGGTGAAGTTTGTCTTTATTTATACTATTTGTAGCCTATATAAACTCATGACAACTGCCTACATGCCAGTTTAGACTGGGCCAAAAATAAACACAATTCACACTGCAGGCTATTTGATCAGCTCGCTAATGGAAAAGTAAACTAAAGTGTTTTATTACATAATGAGATCCTGTTAGAGTTGCCCGCTCACACTCTTCTCTGCTTGGAGATGAAAACCAATTTTTTTCTTACAGCAGATGATTCTTGAATTCAAACTCTATATATTAGATAATCCTAAAACCTGAGAATCAGAAAAAAAAAACTGATTTTAGGCTGGTTTGGATTTAAATATCCCAAGTAACTTCCACAGTCTCTTAGACGAGCCCCCTAACCTCTGGTGTTCCCCAGGGCTCCATCCTCAGCCCCCTGTTTTTCTACATATTGCTACTGGGACGTACCAAAGGTTCACACAACATTGAGTGAAAATGTCTGTTTATAAGACAGCTATTTTAATTGCCTTTTAAAGCAATTTTAAGAGTATTTTTTTATAACATTGAAATGTTGGTCATGAAGCACTTTAAAATAAGTGGAAATTCTGATGTTGATTCTTTTTACCAAATAGATAAACAAAATGTGTTTTAAATATGTCCAACTGTTCCTGGCATCTCTCACTGACGCAACATCTGACATTCAAATTCTCATTGTGAGCAACATTAAATAAATAATCGTCTTTCAATGGTATGGTGAAATAGCTGATGGATGTAAGTGTGTGTTTGTATATTTTCAGTTTGTCAAGAACCAGACGTTCCAGTTGTTTTTATTCTTTCACTCTTTCAAGGACCAGCATCCCAAAGACTGAAACAGTTGGGCTGTAAGGTCAAAGTTGGTGTTCAATTTTTCCCACTAGATGGCAGCACATACACACAGGACTAAATAACTGTGTATCATCATTTACACAAAGGGAAGGAGCTGCAGTGAGTCGCTCTCTTTGGTAACTGATATTAATGCACACTCAAAGTCCATGGTCACTTTAACTTGCCATTCACTGCACATCATTTCTGGATTGTCATAATTCACCTCAATGTTTACATTATTCTTGTAAATACCTCCTATTGTTATTTTGTTTGTATTTATCTTACCTATTCTATTTAGATGTTTGAATTACCTACTTCTCTGTCTTGCTGCTACAATGCCTACATTTCTCCCATGGGGATCAATAATGTATTATCTTATCTTTAAAGGTTTCCTAACAATCACACATTTTTCATACATTTTAATCAGTCGTGTCTGCACTGTTTACACTGACCTACACATTGTCCCCAGACGGTAAGAAGGTTCCAGGTTCTAAACCCTGTAGGACAGGGCTTTTGTGTTGAGTCTGCATGTTCTCCCAGTGGACTCAGGGGTTCCTCCTGGCTCAGCCTTCCTCCCACACTCCAAAGACATGGGCCCTTTCCAAATAGTCACAGGTCAGTATACAGTATGTACTATTCAGTATGGAGTTTCAGTATACTGAACCCTCGTGGTCATTCAGTATGTATATTTTGGGTCCACCTCAGTATACTGAACAGTTCAGTGTGGATACTAACTTCCGGGTTTCATGCAGTATGGATCAGATGGGTGCTTTCAGGAAATTAATTGTATTTTACCCACAATGCTGTGCGAAATTAAATGTAAATCGTCACTTCACGTCCGACTCCAAATCAAAACTAACGAGCGTGGATTAATTTAATCAATTTTTAATCTAGAGTTAAAGTCCCGACTGAAATCACTACTTTCAATTAACAACAGAAAATATAACAAATATCTGCATTATTATAAAACCTTTCTCCCTCTATTTAAATAATGAGTTCACTATTTAAAAGTGTCTTTATTGGTTTATTTTATATTCTGTATATTACTGTCTTTCATTTGTACTTTTCTTTATGTACTGTATGTTATTTAGTTATTTAATCTTTTACTTGATTTACATTGTAATATTGTTTTGTTTACCTGTTTGTATATGAGCATTACTCTTCTTGAAGAAAGCTAAACAAAAAAAATAAAAATAAAACGTGTGAATGCGGCCGGTTCGGGTAACGTAAATGACGTCACTTCCTTACTGAATGAATCAGATGAAGTAGGCACAAATATCTGCCTACTGAATAGTAGGTACTAACAGTATACAGCACAGATAGTAGGTACTGACTACTGACAGATTGAGTAGGTACTTGGCAGTTCGGATACAGCCATGCATTAGGTTCATGTGTGACTCTTAATTGTCTGCAGTGTGACCGGTTGGTTGTCTCTGTTTATAAGCCCTGTGATTGGCTGGTGACATTGAAGTCCAGGGTATAACCCCGCCTCGCTGGGATCGACTGCAGCCCCGCTGTAAACCTCAACAGGATAAGAAGTAAAGCTAGTGGATTGAAACAGCCTCAAGTGGACACCTGTGGTAGTTTTTTGGCACTTCAGTGTTCATTTTTGAGCCTTTGACGTTGCAGCCAGCGGACTTTTTATCCAAGATAGATACACAAGGTTTTAGTGCACGGAATAAGAAAATGTAAAATTAAAAAAGACTTCACAAAGGCTTGTTAATTAATTCAACTAATCAAGTTTATTATTCCATTATAATGGAACTTTTTCTGCTATAAAGTTGGAAATAGTAAACAGGGGCATGTCCAGACTATTTTATCCGGAGTGGCCTTACCTGGGGTCTACCTGGGACTTATGCAGGGGTGGCCTTACCTGGGGTACTGATTTATGCAGGGATGGCACATTTGAATGAAATTAAAAACATTTAGTTTTGTATCCCCACTAATGATCTGTACTTATGAATAACATTTATTTGGCAACATATAAATCATCTTAGCCGGATTCTTTAAGGACTAAAAAACAAAGATGTGTAAAAAAAAAAGTCACGATTTTAAGTACTTTGTAAGCAAACTCTCAACTTGCAAAAATACATTTATTGGCAATTAAGTCCATTGCCACTTAGATAGTGTGCACAAGTTTTTCCTTGGAACTTTTAAAGAGCAGAGTATTTATTTAGTTGATTTGTATTTAAGTCCCGCCTCTGATTTGGTAAATAGCCAATCATAGAGTAGGCCTTTGGGGTGGCACCTGGGGTGGCCAATCAGATTTCACAGGGGGCTCATGCCATCCCGGCCACCTGTCTGGACACACCCCTGACTGTAAAATGTGGCTCTTTTGGGATTGACTCACTTTGGGATACTGCCTCCAATGGATACAAAAAGCAGTTTTCAGTTGTTCAATATTGACTTCACTTTTCAGATCTGATGTCACTCCTTTGGTAAACATTAAGGTTAACCTCAGTGGTATCCTCTCATCTCCTTTTTGCAGAGATGACATCACTTCTTTAATCCGCTCACACTTCAGCACTAAAAAACTGTAACCACAAACAGGAGCTCCAGACTCAAAGTGAATTTATTTTTTAGGCTCAAAGTGGTGAAAAATATGACATTTTGATAAACTCGACAGTGACATTTAACTTGAAAGATAAAGTACCCATTACATGTTCGGTATGGAAATTAATGAAACTGATTTATTTTGCAATTACAATTGTCGTGTTGTAAGCAGCTCAAATAATTTAGAAGATATAAACAGTTTTTAAAGAGACAATTCTGAAAACAAAGAGAATCTGCATGAAGGGACAATGAGTGAAACATTTGGCAGACCTGACTGCTGCAGAGTACATATCTGAGTGAGATATTAAGCTTCTATAGTGTCTCACGGATTAACTGTCTGCACAAACAGAGTGATTGATTCGGGGGTATTTGCTAGAGATACATTTGGCTAAATAGTTTATCACTCCTCACACACACACACACACACACACACACATCGCTCAAACTGTAATATGCAGTGCTGTAAATATTATACAGTGAATTGTGCAAAGTTGTTGTGACTAATCGCTGTAGTTCAGCACACTGTGCAGAGAAGTGACGGGTCAGCAGCGGTGTAGGAGCGAGTATGGATCTGATGTTCTGGTCCTCCTGTTAGAGCGGTCTCAGCAACACAAACATCAAATGTCTCTGATTGGACACCACTCTGAGTCCGTCTATTGTCTACTTGTCTATTGCTGCTTGTCTTTGGCACGTCTTGTTCTGGCACGGAGTCTCAGCTCTCGCTCTACCTATCTACTCTCTCTCTCTCTCTCTCTCTCTCTCTCTCTCTCTCTCTCTCTTGTCGTGTCTTCTTTGGCCGGCCTCCTGGTCACCTCGCTTCTCGTCCAGGTGTGAATATCTCCCTCCTCCTTCTCCTGTCAGTGAGCTTTCCACAGAGGGTTGTGGTACACCCAGCCTTCACCCTGCACACACATACACACACGTTATAAATGGCTGCCATGTTATTGTGGTGAATATTGCATGGTCAGAGTTCCTAAAAAGCCTGAATAACAAAAATAGTTCTTTCACAATGTTTTCAGGATGAGCTGCATGTGCGAAGCATACACTGTAAATATTCATGTTTGAAGCCTGAGTGACGTCACCCATCTGTTCCTGCAGGGGGCGCTGGAGGCTCATCTGCAGCAGCCGCCATGCTGGCAATCCTGTCTCAGTTTAACTTTCAGTCACCCTAACGACAGACTGAGAGCTGGAGCTGAGGCGGGTTTTAAGTAAGTAAATTAAGTTTATTTTTACAGCACTTTTCAAAGACAAAGGTCACAAAGTCATTTACAACAACAGAAAAGAATAACAGCATACATACAATAAAAACAAGAACAAATGAGTACGTCATGGGCGACATAACCAGGAACAATAATTGGCAAAATAAAGCGTAGATGAGTAGGTTCACTGGGTGGACTTGATTACCCATAGGCCTGTCTTAACATTAACGTTTTTAAGTGTTTTTTAAAAGACTCAACAGAGTCGTAAAGACGAAGCAAGATGGGTAGGGAATTCCAAAGGGTTGGTTGAGTTGATTTAAGCCTCTTATCGAACTATTACATCGCGACCACCTGTCCATTGTGCCAGCTACGCGCCTAACTATTAATAATGCATTGTTGATAAAATCTAAACGTATGGGTTATAACCCCCCCCCCCCCCATGTACAGTGTGTGCCTATGATGACAATTACTCATCAGACCTATTTAATTTTTTTTTTTATTTATGCTTTTTTTTGGCTGGGGTGGTGTAGGTGACTTCCAGGTTTCTTGGAGCCAGCCTCAAATGGACACTAAATGAACTGCAGGCCCTAGACCTTATGCACCGGCGGGTACCTCACCTCTTTAACAAAGAATTTGGGGGTCCAGGGGGTCTTGTTGGCGGTTCTTTGTTTGCTCTCACTGCGCTGTCTCTCCTCCAGGAAGTGTTTGTGTTCTGTGGCTGCGTCCATGTTTCCCGTCTTCAGAGACGACGTCACATGCTGCCAGAGACGCCTACAAACAGCACAACAACAACAACAACAACAACAACCATGGTCAGAACTATTCATACATCCTGCATTATATGTGCTGAGGGTTCACACATCATAGGATAAGATATTTCTCTGAATACATAGGAACACAAGGTGACTCAGTGAAATAACATGTTGCAAAAATGTAGTTTGTTTATCCACAGAATAATTACCAGCTGCATAGTGAATTCTCAAACATGTTTCAGGACAGTTTGAATCAATTATCCAATAAGAAAAAGCTTCATGCTTCGTTGTTTAGTTACTGTCCTGTGGAGAAATGAAAGTTGTCTGTTTCTGCAGCAGCATTTCGCTCTTCACGATTTGTTACCGTCCTTAAATTTCTCTTTGCTCGTTTATGAGGACTTTTGGTACCCTTGAGCGGCAGGTTGGGCTGCATCCAAATGATGCGTCATCATCATGCTTCTAGTGGCCGATCACTCTACATTATCTGTTGTCATGAAACAAGAAGTGTTAACGTTGATATATGCTAGTAAAAATAAAATGATATCAGTAACTTTTTCTTAACCACAGCATCAAAAAAGAAGTACTCACCCTTTTGTGGGTAATTTCTTGTTGTTGTTTTTGTTACCAAAATTGCAGAAGAAAACCTGCACACTATCTAGATTGTAAACATATGTTAGCAACATTTGCTAAATTTAGACAGTGTTTCTGTATGAGACATCAGCTTAACTTTTGTATCTTTATGAGACGCCTAAAGGACTTTAATCTTCAATCCAATTGAACGCATCATAACTGGCCCACCTGTCTACTTACTTGACCATCCCTGCAGATACCTAACCCTTCACACGGCTCTTTACCTTTCAGCCTCTCTCTACACTCACTGATACAATTTTTTCCTTCCTCCATCTGTTCTTAATGTTTGTATGTCGTCTACCTTTTTTACCACCTGTCTGCCTGTTACCTGTACCTGCCTATTAGCTCAATTCAATAAATCTCAAACATCATCGTTTTGCTTTCTCAATCTGCATTTTGGTTCTTCCTCCACCAATCCTCCTCTCGTCAGGTGAGGAGTGTTCTCATCTTTAACTCCAGTGTAACACCTCGGGGTACAGGTAGGACTTCATGACATCACATCTGGTTTGTGAACAACCCCGTTTGTTTTGCTGTATTGAACTAAAAAAAGGCAAACTGAGGATTTTAAAGTGTGTCCGGGCCGACTGTGACAGACTCACCGTGACTCGTACTGGCCTTGCTTTTCTAGCGGTCTCATCTTCTTCTTGATGATTGGCAGTCTGGACGTGTCGATCACTTTGTTCTCTCCGCTGCTGTACGTGAACTCCAGCACGCCGTTCCACTCGCCCTGGGCCTTGCACACCACGTGTCCTGTTTGGTTCTGTTTGACCTCCGCTGTCACTCTGCAGGAACACAAGCACAACTCTTCAGCATAATGAGAGATGACAAAAAAAATACAACAACTACAGGGATGAGGGATTTTTCAACCTTTTTATGTTTTTGTTGTCTTGATTATTCACCCACATTTTGTCATTGATATGAATACTTCTACAATGTAAAAGTTATCCATGCTAAGCTCAGCATGAGCTACGCATGGACAACTGCAATTGTATAAAAGTGAAACAGGGCCAAAGAGTCAGGGATTCTCTCTCTCTCTCTCTCAAAGGAATGAATGTGTAGAACCCTTTTCACACATACGGAAATCTCCAGTAAAACTCCAGAGATTAGTCTACCCGGAGGTTCTTTAGACTATGTGTGAACGCAAACAGACACATTTTTCACTCTGACTTTACCCAGAGTTTCTCCGGCCAGACCCTTAGTATTTTATCAGCAGAAAATCTGAGTGAGCTGATGTCTGAACGTGGCCGAATATACTCCGGAGATTTCAATTTCAGCCAATGGAAAGACAATGACGTTTATATAGTGACTGTCTAAAGTGTCTGCACGCGACCTCTACGATCTCTGTGCACTAATTAAACGTCTGCATTCTGTTTTCTGTTGGTCAGTTGTTGTTCTCCTCTCTTTTGTGGATGTTGTCATTCCATTGGATTACACATAGCATTGATATAAAGACAAATATTCTCATTATAACGTAGTGTAGCGGACTCTGTTGCTCCCCTCTGACAGGGAAAGTCCCCCGCTGTGAGGAGCATATGTGAACGGCTAGGTCGGGAGAATCTCCGGAGCGTTCCTCCTGTAATTATCTAGATATTATCCGGAGTGCATATGTGAAAACGGCTCAGGTGTGACCTGCGGTTTAAAAGCGCTTTGAGTAGTCAGAAGACCAGAAAAGCGCTCTACGAGCTCAAGTCCATTTACCTCCTTGAAATGTATTCCCACTTGTATCAGACAATGTGTAAAACTTTGGTTTGGATAGTGCTGAACAGATACAGATCACTAAAAGTTGTCCGTCTCTTAATGCACTCACACAGATCTGCATGCAACCACTAAATGCATTGCAACAGTTGGACGACATTGTGACGGGCCACAAGGGACTGAACATCTCGTATAAATCCTCTCATGTGTCCCAACATTTTTTTTTTATCCAATTTCATCCCTCAATTCAGATGTGACGGTCTCTTGTTCATGCAGTCTCAGTAACCCAGTCCCTGTTCACTGTCCCTGCTGATTTTGCAGCACGGTGTGATTTTGGAGCATATCTAGACTTCAACGTTGCACTATATTCAGCCTGCTGCATGAGAACAGAGATACTATAGACACACACGGCTGCTCCCACCTGTGCACTTTTCCTCCATAGAAGGGTTTGGTGTGGAAGGTGACGGTGGCAGAGTAACCGCTCTTGGCACAGTTAATGGTGACTTTCCCGCCGAGCTCCACCCACGGCACTGTGAGGATGGAGCGGGCGTAGGCACAGGGCAGAGTGAACACGTACTCTTCATCATGCTCCAGCAGATACAGAACACCTGCAGGGACACAGGAAGGAAAGCAGAAGGAACGGTTGACTACTGCGGTCGTGCACGCCATATCTAGAAAATAAAGAAGCTAACAAGAGAGACAATGAAGCTTTGGGTTAAAGAACGATATTTCTCTGAATACATAGGAACACAAGGTGACTCAGTGCAATAACATTTAGTTTGTTTATCCACAGAATAATTACCAGCTGCATAGTGAATTCTCAAACATGTTTCAGGACAGTTTGAATCAATTATCCAATAAGAAAAATCTTCATGCTTCGTTGTTTAGTTACTGTCCTGTGGAGAAATGAAAGTTGTCTGTTTCTGCAGCAGCATTTCGCTCTTCACGATTTGTTACCGTCCTTAAAATTCTCTTTGCTCGTTTATGAGGACTTTTGGTACCCTTGAGCGGCAGGTTGGGCTGCATCCAAATGATGCATCATCATCATGCTTCTAGTGGCCGATCACTCTACATTAAGTGAGCCACTGAATAGATGGAAAAAGTACTTTCATGGTGAATAATAAAATCCCTGTACAGAATCTCTGTGAAAAGAAGTCAGCCTTTAAAGGCTTTATATGCGATTTTTTTGATCCAGCAGATGTCGCCCTTGAGCACCAGCATGAAATCAAAACAACTCACGCTGCATTGTTGTGTTAGCATGCTAATGCTAGCGATCTTTATTATGCTGGTATCTTCACACTGCATGTAAATTTACCTGAAATGAGCGTGATCTAGAAACACAGTTAAGCAGTGAGTACAGTATGTTATTCTTCTTTTCTCTAGTCCCTCAATTAAACAACTTTTATACTCGAGGGGAGGAGTCAGCCGGCTGTCCCGGCGATGTAAACAAACTGAAGATAGGACTCTGAAAACTCAGAAAGCATCACAGACAGTGGGACTCGGTGTTACACCCATTGTAGACAGTCATGACTCACAGAGTTATTTTCAGAGGATATACTTGATTTCTATTAGATTTAAGTGTGAAAAATCACATAGAAAGCCTTTAAGTACAGTTGGCTATACAAATAGAAAGATAATTTAGTGTTTTAAAACATATTTTTACCTTAAACTGCCTGTTTGTTTACAACTCCTGTGTTAACTATACCTTCTTTTTATTTCTTTTAGCTTCTTCCTTTTTTAGCTTTCAGGTTTAGCTTTTTGGAGTATAGTTCCTTCATGGGGTTGTTCTTTTTCTTGAATTGGGCTCTGTGTTTTATTGCATCTGGTTTTTTGACTTTACACCAACATTGTTTGATTTGAAATGTGCTTTATAATGAATGCATTGTGCTTTCACACACACACACACACACACACACAATTCCTGAAAACGTCCTGCATGTGAGCTGCATGTGTGATCTCCAAGAGACTAACCCTAACCCAGAATTTTTCCCACCTGCCATGTAGCAAGTTATCTATGTGAAGTCGAGATTAGTTGACGTGAGAACACATCAGCAAATATTGATGAAACACCTTGCAAGGGATGATGACGCTTATATCCTGTGACTGACGCACAAACCGTAGACTGCATGGGCACGACCGGTGTGATCTCCATGCACATTCATTATCTTATCTCAGTATCTTCTTCTACGCTCCATTGTTGATGCTGTGAATGTGTCGAAAACGTTGCCATCATTGCGTCTGACTCAGTGTTGCCCGTCACTTCCACATCATTCTTTTTATGTCATGCCTGAGACAAACCCACCACACACACTTACAAACACCCTTACACACACACACACAGGTTGAAGGTTGACATTAATGCTGCTGTAAAGATACATCATTATTGTGCTTCAGAATCTGCTTTCGTTTGCCTTATGTCCCTCCTGAGCTCCTGTCCTACTTTCTTTTTCCCCTCTTGCTGCTTATATAAGAGACAGCTGTCCTGTTCACAGCCACATCTGTTCCCCCAAGACACACACACACACACACACACACACACACATATTCAGCACACACTTTCTTTGAAAGACCCACACGCAGAAAACACTCTATTGTGTGAATTATGCGCAGTCAGCAATCTTATTCCTATAATGTGTGTGTGTGTGTATGTGTGTGTGTGTGTGTGTGTGTGTGTGTGTGTGTGTGTGTGTGTGTGCGTGTTCCCTTATATATTTTCTCTGTGGTGCATGTGTGCATTAATTCGATGGTGTGTGAAGTATGCGTCCTCCTCCTGCAGTCAGTAATGCTCCTGAGAGCTGCTGCATTACATCAGAGTAGAAGTGGGAACATCTGATTTCATTCAGTAAAACAGTTTGTGTTGAGAGAGTTTCTGCGTGTCAGCCAGGCCGCTGTTTGCATGGACGGTTAGAGGTGACGAGTATTTGACATGCTGCCTCAAAGTGTTTGTTCTGTCACAGAGATAAAGTGGGAAGAGTGACATGCATATAACATATTTTGATTACTTAGTAAAGACAGATATAAACTCTGCTTTTGACCACTTTGTGTTTGCATGATGGATGTTCCCTGACCCCCCTGCGTCTGTTCTGCAGGTTAATGTAAGATTGTCAAATGAAAAGAAGGGACAGTTCAGACTGAGGCAGTGGTGATCTGACAGAATCAGCACAGCAGCAGGGACGACAATGGCCGAAAGTTTTTGAGACAAGCTGAAGACGTGACAAGAAGTCATTTGCGCACAGAGGAACAAGACGGTGGGTTCTGTCCACCTTATATCCCACCTACTTTGGCGCTTCTGTGACTTTTATTCTGATGTGATCTCAGACTTAATATAATGATAACCTCCTTCAATATGCCATTTCTATCGCTTACATCCTGCACATCGGGTAGATGCAAACGGCCTGAGCTTTCTTATGTGCCCTCTAGAGGTGTCCTCCAGTAACACCCCCATTGTGAACAATAACATTCCTCACGCAGCTGGTTATGAACAAGCATGTTAGGTTAAAAAGAAAGTATGTTCCCAGCTGTGTCAGCGAGAGTATTTGAAGACTGATTGCATCACAGCAGGGGGTCAAAGGCTCCTTCTTACTGTATGCAGCCAACAAATCCGTCCTACTTTCCCTGGCCAAACATGCTCCTCCTCCCTTTTTTCTTTGAGAGAATATTCAATTATAAACTCGTACACCAGCTGTTCACACCTCACACATGACCATGATTAGCTACTTAATGAACTTGAGTGCTTCTGACTGTTATGTGATGAACAATCAGAGAGCTCCAGGGCTGGTTTAGTTTTATTTAAGGAGGCACAATTGAATTCACCTTAAAGCAAAAAATAGATCTGAGCCAGAGCCTCATCGTCCTACATCACCAGCCAGAGAACTGGTTTTAATATAAACAGCTGGGGGCTCATGTGGTACAGGACCAGAGAAAACTCACAGAAATGCAGAAACAACGATGATGATTCTTCTGATGGTTATTTTGAAATATGTTTTGTATGAGTGTGTTTTATCACAGGTGAGACCGGAACAAACAGGAAAACCACACTCTGATCACTGACTGTATAAGACATGGATGTAGTCGAAATTATGTCACCCACAACTGAAGAGGCATTTTGAAGCCCCAAACGATGGTGGTGGCCATATTGAAAATGTTAACTGAAATCAATCTAGAAAACAGGCAAAGAAGTGGTCTGTAGCCTCCCGGTAAATGGCAACAACTTTAATCAGTCTGTCAGATTTAAAAAATGTATGATTAACTCTGAAGCTTCAAAAATCCAAAATGGACGAGTGACCTCCGATACAGGTTGAACGAAAAAATGAATTAGCTATATTGATACAAAATTCACGCTTTGTACCAGGCAGTAAGCATGTTTATATCTGCTGTAAAAATTGACACTTTATTATGTACCTAATAGGGATTGATTCACTTTTGAAGCCAGCCTCAAGTGGACACTTAAGGAACTGTAGTTTTTTGTGCTTCATATTTCAACACCAGAGGTTGTTGATTGACTCTGATGTCCAGTCATCATCAGTCCAACAGAAATCAAAGAGATATTTTAGAAACAGTCCTAAATGATCCGTTAGCAGTTTTAATTATATTGGGGATAAGTTACTTTTGTATGAAATACTGTTGGCAGTAAGCCACTGGGTAACATCTCTGATCATTTCTAGTGTTTTGAATGAGGTGAATGTCTTTACAAATGCTTTTTTTTTAGGACTTGGTGAAATGGTCAAATGACCCGTTTACAGCTGGGCAGTTAACTGACCATCTGCTCTGATATGAAGCTCAGAGAGAAGACAATGTTCTCTCGGTTACTCTGATGACTGCAGACAGAGGCGAGGATGTACGCGGAGTGAAAAACAAACGCTTGGTTTGAATAGTCTTCAGACGAATAACAGCTGAACCTGCGGGCATGAACAGCTGTGTAAATGATTTCGCAATACAATGACCAAATCTATGGACCAAAAAGGTATCAGACAGAGAAGACTGTTTTAGTGTTCGACTGTCAGAGGAAACATGGAGCTTTGAAATAATAAAATTTGAATTATTTTCTTAACCAATAAAAATCCAACAGGCCCTGCTGATCCCATGTGTCAGAGTGATTCAAGTTTATTAGAGATGATCCTTAACTTCAAGTTCATCTCTTTTACGATGCAATCTGTGCATCTCTTAAAGGTCCCATATGATGCTTTTTCTGGTTTTATATGCTCTTTAGTGTGTTTTCCAAGTGTCCTGTGCTTCTCCTACGTCCTCCTGTTAGTTGCAGCATTAGCTGCATGTAACGCTCGGTTCTAGCCCCCCTCCAAAAACATTTGCCAGTGTGACGTCTTGTCAGTGTGATATCACTGATCTAAGCTCATTGGCTCGTTGTGGCAAGCCCAGCAGCTCATGTTGCACGCCCATTAACTTCTGCAGCACGCCCACGATATGAGGTAGCCTGCGGTAGCACAGTAGTGCTAAGGTGCTAATGTTTTTGCGCCCCGGCCCTCGGAGCCAAAGGGCTGCATTCCCAATATGGTAAAAGGGGCGGGACATTTCCGAGAACCGTGCTGAGCCGACAGACCGACCAATCAGATCAGACTTGGCACACGTGGGGACTCTGAACGTGGGCACTTCAGAGCCTTAGAGAGAGAGTCAGAAGCGAGCCGGTGCGTGGAGCGGCAGTTCATGAAAACAGACACTTTTTTAGAACTTTAGCTATTGTGAACATACTTTAGTAGATACATAGATTAAATATACGAACCCCAAAAAGGGCAGAATATGACCTCTTTTAAAGCTTCTGTGAAGAACTTTCACCTTGTGTCCACTTTGGCGCCCCCTGTGGACAAAGTGGTTCATCTTAACTCTTATCTAGGTTTCTGTTTCTCTTACCTTCTCCTACCATGGACACGCCCACAGACACGCCCATGAACTTGCTCTTGGTCCAGACGTGTGTGTTCACGCACATCCTCCGCTCCTTACACTCACAGTAGAACCCGGACACGGGGGGATGGTGGGACACCTGCTCCGCCACAAAGCGGACATGGTAGCAGTCTGAGTTCCTCCTGCAGGATTTGTCGGCCCCCCTCTGAGGGGACCCGGGAGTGGGACAGTTAGCTGTGGGTGCTGCGTTTGGACCAGAACAGTTGGTGGTCCTGAGGGGTTTAACCCGGACCCGGGGGACGTACCAGGAGCAGTGGAAGTTCTCCCCCAGCATGGGGTTATACGGCTTCTTGGCCACGGCGCCTTTCCTGCCCTCGTGGAAGGCAGTCAGGTAGTATTCCACGAAGCGGATGATCCGCTCCTCCGCTGTGCAGCCGGACGTGATGGACAGGAACATGTCGGGGTGAGCCATGAAGTTAGCGTACATTTCCAGTAAGGAGCGCTTCTCCAGGATGAAGGTCGGGAGCACCACCTGAGGAGGGACAGATTGAGAGGACAAAGAAGAGGAGGGAGTGTGAGATCTGTGATCACTGTGCTGACTGACATGTACCAATGGATTCTTAAGGAGTCCAATCTCCAATTCTACAATTCACTTAGCAGACGCTTTTATCCAAAGCGACGTACATCAGAGAGTAAGAACAACACAAGAAAGGATCTAGAAAAAAGGGAACAATGTCAGTAAGAGCAAACGATCAGCTTTGAGTCCGATTGGACACACAGGTGCTGACAGGAAGTGACCAGAGGCAAAGCACAACATTGAGGGCAGTTCTTGAGAGCTCTAATCAGTATAGAAACCATCTTATAAGTCGTCGTTATCAAACAAAAACCATCGTCACAACCATCATCATCATCAATAATATGGAGACCATCATCATTAAGTTAGTAGGTATTCATAAAGAGCTGGGTCTTTAGCTTTTTCTTAAAGGTGCAGAGAGACTCTGCAGATCAAATGGAGTTTGGAAGTTCATTCCACCACCGGGGGGCGACAGAGGAGAAGAGTCTAGTCAGAGACTTAGGACCATGTTGTGAAGGTTGGATCAGACGCCTTTCATTGGCAGAGCATAGAGGGGCGGGACGGAGTGTAGTGTAGTGCAGAACATTATGAAACATTATGCAACCTTCAGTACACTTTTCATCGACTAGACAGAATGTGAAACTATTGCTGAAAACTACGGCTCTCTCTGACTGAGGTTTGACATAGTCTTCAAGTTTTCAGTAGTTTTTTGAATATGTGAAAAGACCAAAAGAGGAAACACTTTGGCGATCTTTGACCCTGCCCCAGAAATGATTGTCTCTTGAAACTGATCATTTCAGGGTTACTCCAACACCCTGACAATTCAGTGTCCTGAACTCACATACTGTGGGTCCAATGACGGCTCCACTGAGGAATATTATACAGTTTAAGCTTGAGTGATGTACGGTGGCGGGTAAGTGCAAAGCAAAATTACAAAGTGTGAAACACACAAAATTTGAGACAAATTTACATTCTGAAAAACATTTACATTACAAAAATTAAACAAAATGACCAAAATCACTCAATCACTTCCAGGTCACTTCCTGCATTTGGTATGTTCCCTTTCCGTCAAGATTCTGTAGTTTGTAAATATGTTTGGGGGCTGGTAAAGTGTTCTGCCAATTGTAAATTTGCGTTTTGGTTTTGTAATTTTGTTTTATAAAATGTAAAAATGCCTCAAATTTTGTCAAAGTTTTTTCACACTTTGTCATTTTGCTTTGCACTTCCCAGCAAAGTGATGTGACGGAGTGTGTAAAATCAAAGATTCTTTTATGTCAACTATGCATGTGTGACGACCAGCACATCTCCCGCTTCTGTTTGGCACAGGTTCAGGTTGTGCAAGTCCTCAAAAATGAACGACAACAGACACAATATTCAGTATGCACATGAATGTTAGAGCAGTGTAGAGGCAGAAAACAATGCCAGAAGGCCATGACTGTCGTTCACATCCCGCAAAGAATTTATACAACTACTTTCACGACGCAGCCGGTTGTGTACGTGAACGCAAGGATAAAACAGCAATGATTATGCTTTGTTATTGTCTCTCTATCTGCTGTGTGGTTACATAAAGCTGGGCCTGTTATGTAACCTGACCACCATATGATGCTACCCTCCCACCCCCAGTCAATTTTGGTGGTGGGCCAAAGTCAAGCATCGACCCCCCACCCCTGCAGCTCCACCCGTCAATGAGGACACAGGAAGGACGAACAGTCAATGCATGGAGGGATGGAAGAATGGATGGATTGTTTAGTAACAAATAACGTGTTTTCTATGTACAGATCTGGACCATGAGA